ATCAGCAGGTGGAGGACTTGGAGGCAGTGGAACATCACACGCCGTTACACTGAGAGGCCAGGACATCACACAGGCCACTTCATCATCCAGAGAAGGAAACCCGATGTCTGTCAAATCAGGATACTCCCCTTCAGCGTCCAACACAACATCAACAGGTGCAGGAGTTGGAGGCAGCGGAATATCAGCCAGCTGACCCAGGGGCATCAAATCTGGTACTTTGTCATCAACTGGAGTGAAATAGCAAGACAAGTCAAGGTACGTCTTCTCATTTAAGTGGTGATGTGCAGCATCAGCAGGTGGAGGACTTGGAGGCAGTGGGACGTCGCATGGCGTCACGCTGAGAGGCTGGGACATCAAACAGGCCACTTCATAATCCGGAGGAGGTAACCCAGTGTCTCTCAAATCCAGGAACTTCTTCTCCTGAAAGTCTCCCTTGCCCAACAAAGCGTCAGCGGACGTCACCACGGGTGTTGGAGTGGCGGCCTCTTGAGCGCTGCACACACAGTAGTTGATTCAGGCATCATGCAATGCAAACAAAATAACAAAGGACTTATCATTAGATGCTTTTTTTATGCAATTGAAATAAAATATAATAATGTGGAGTGCTGATTATATTTTAACTTATATTTGAAGCTATTTGCAGGACTCACCTGTCACTTTTGTCATCAGAAGCTGCAAAACAGTTTATACCGACCAAGGCTCTCTGGATGGGCTCTGGATTTACGAGCTCTATAAGACTGTTAACCTATGAGAAGATGATAGATTTGTTAGTTCATTTGTTCATTAAGAGCATTGTCAAGTACATCATTTTAAAAAAATAATGAACTGAGATGGAGAAAATAGTAACTTACCACACTCTGGGCCGTTTTTAGGCAGCAGTCCGACCAACTGAGCATGATGGATTTGGTTTGACAGTCTGTATAACATTAGAGAAGGTGTTGTCAGAAAAGCAACAGTTTTAAACTATAAATATAAACTATAATGTTAAAAACATTGATTTAGACATATACAGTGCAAATGAAATGCCTTGTACATATCAGATGTTAGTTAAGCTGTTGCAAAAGCCTCACGTCTTGTAATGAAATATCCGTAAAGCCTTACCTTGTCAACTTTTATGTGTCAGCTGTGTCCTCGCAGCGATGCCTCTCAAATACTTCACAGAATACTTTCACAACAACAAATACTGGGTTTTAGTGCAACGATCCGACGATGTGAATGCAAGAGCACCAATGTATTTGTGTGTCTTCAGGCTGCGGTGTTGGAATGACCCCTGTGACGTCACCTACTGTAACAATGGAGGAACTTCCAGAATGTATTGATGTTCTATTTTCAAGATGTTTTTATTTTTTCAGTTTTCATGTGGAAGTTTATGCGGTTTTATCCAATAAAATGACCCTTAATTAATTATTCCCTTGGTGTAAATATAAAACAGCTCTCTATGTTGGGGCTGACTCCATGTTCTTTAGGTCATACCCAACAAGCAATGCGGTTTACTAGTTACTGCAGACCCGTGATGTCCAGCAGCAGCAGCCATGCCCATAATAAAGCCACTGCAGTTCACTCTATAGGGTTGTGGATTTTTGCAGAAGTGGCATTAAAGTATCTCAAGGTCAAACGCATCAACCTCACCAAAGCTGTGGAGACTGGACCGTGTCACAATACAGTCTTAATTGAATTAAAACTTTTTCAGCTTAGTGCTCATTTTTAAGCGGCTTCAATTTATGAAGTGGCTTTTGGTGCAATATTTTTAAAGTGCCTTGAACATTTGTGGCAAGACGATTAAATAATGATGAGACTATTTTGTCCACGGGTTTTCAGAAAGCATCCCTCCTTGTTGGAGTTGTGTGCAGGAGAAAGGTGTTGTGGTTTTCCTGTCTGTAAAGCACAGACTTTGTGTGGATAGTATGGATGTACAATAGTCTCTGGTGCAGCACGGCGGCCACCTTGAAATACTTCCTTTCAAGTTCATATTTCATTCTGCTGTTAATTGCAAGTATCGTGCAATAGCGCACTGCTGCCTGCACGTCTGAGGAATACACAATAACCCACTTTTATTCATTGATGAACCGTTAATCTGCATCTTCCAGTGAGGGCTGCCTCTAGTGCCCAAGGCAGAGTATTGTAGGATATCTATATTTATATTACTGTTCAGGGTGTGTGTGTTTCCATGTATCATGTGCAGAAGAAAGGTGGTGCTAGTTTTCCAGTCCAGCGTGTAGATAGGTCAGTTTGTGGCTCTGCGTCTTCTCGAAAATTAGCCCACGCTGCTTCTGTGACAGATTCACCCACACACTGACGACAGTGGACAGTCAATCTGGTTTCTCTATCCTTTGCTTCCAAGCCCTGCTTTCCCCTTTGCCTTTCTCCTGCGGCGAGGGTGCAGTTCAGCAGCAGTGGAGGGAACCCCTTTGTGTTTGTCAAGAGCGGTTTGACAGCAGATCTTATCCCCTGCGCTGTTCTCTTCACAGCAGGAAAAAGTGGCTGAACTGCTCTCAGTGGGCCGCCAGGGTCAGACAGTACAAGTTCAAACTCAAAGATACAATGTCAAGCTCAGTAGGCCAAGTGGATAGTCTTTCCAAGTGGAAAGCTTTTTTGGAACATCTCATGAGCTGCAGATCGTCCGCCCTGTGTGCTGAGAAGCTAGTCACCTGTTTAAAGGCCTTTGTGAAGTATCAAAAATAACAGCATCTGACTCTTCATTATCCCCTCACATAAAAAAATCTGAGTGAACTCAGCACAAAAACTGTAGGTGGTCCATTCACTCAAGTACCACAATGATGAAACAGGTTGAAAACCATGAGTGTGTGGGTCAGTGAGAGAGTCTAGACCAGATGTCTAAAACACAAACTTGGCGCATAATTTCCTACAGGAAATTCTGTATGTGTCTTAACCGTGGGTTGTCTCCGGCAGATAAGCTCATCTCTTCAAAAAACAGACAATCGTGGAGAGGGTGAAGCTGTGTGCATGAATACATATGTCAAAATCATTCGACATATGCCTGAATGTAACGTCGCATCATTCTTTCACATATCTATATAACGCAAGAGCAGCCTTTATTTATCCTAACCAAAAAATATGATTCAACGTTGCATCCCATGTTGCATTCTGGATGTGAATGTCCTTCTGAAAATGAGGCTTATTAGTCTCTATATTTGGATGGAAAATGGAAGCTAACGGAAATTTGCTCAACAGCACTGCAGCAAAGGTAGATGCTTGCCAGCCTATATCCTCTATAGAACTGCTTTGGTTCCCATTCTACCACACAATAAATCATGGGTGATTTGTGAGTATTAAAGGTAGCAAAGGTCATCTGCCAGTGAGCTTGTGGTAAGAACTGAATTCACAAAGCCCAATCCTTCAATGAATGCTACATTCAACAGAACCGAAAGCTTTATTGATCGCCCTTAGTACTAATGAGATTGGACGTACCTTTCCTAATACCACCAATATTCTTTTCTCACTAAATCAACGGATTAGATTGGCATACACATCCGTCTTATCCCCGCCTGTTCCCGTCCATATGTGTCAAGCAGTTTCAACTGAACAAAGAACCATAAAGGAGAAAGGGGAGAAAAGGTGGATTGAATACATGAAAAGACACACCTAACGAACTTAAAGGGCTCCAACTGAGTCTGTATGCTGAGGTAGACGCCCACAAAAGGGGAGAGAGATGAGGGTTGTGATGGACAGGCCATCACATCCACGGGAGGGGGGGGACAAAAGAGCGGGGTGACAAGCAGCCGATGGACAGACGGTCCATTTCCACTCGCACAAAAGAACCAGGGAGATGAAGCAGATTAGCAGCTCTTTATGCCCATTGTGAAGCCTCTAAATGATAAGATTTACCCCTTTTTCCCATCTCAGCCTGTGTGTGTGTGTGTGTGTGTGTGTGTGTGTGTGTGTGTGTGTAAGCTCACACAAGAGATCACAAGCTCTTTCGCTCTGGCTTTTTCTCTGTTTCTTTCACACACTCCATCAGGATGTACTTCCCCCTTTTTTTCTCCCCTCACACAGGTACATATACACACATACACTTCTCCTGAAGAGTCTTTTCTTTATCCTTATAAGAAGGACAGATGCGACAGCTGGCTTTTGAGTCACTTCCCTTCCTTCAACTAAACCCTGAATTTACAGTTTGATGGGAAAAGCTCTAAACTTAAATCCCCCCCATCACTGAAAGATGATGTTCTTTATATGTCGCTTTGATTTGAAAATGAGTCTTTTTGGTGGAAGAGGCACACAGGGGTTTTGTTGCTATAATGTCATTAATCACTCATTCACTGGCCTTAATATAGGAGTAAAATGATACCCTGTTAGCAGTTAATAACATGTCACGCATTGTAATTATGTTCCATCTCTTGGAGTATTTTTTCCTCGCCACTTGTGTTTATGGTCGTGGGGTTTTATGAACTATTGTTCATACCTGAGCCTGTTGTTTCCTCTTATCATACCTTTGTATTTAGTGCCATCTACTGACCATCTTGTGACATTGCAGGTTCGCACGGCTCCAAATTTGATCAGCGTTCCTACAATCCATAACACAACATGTCCAATTGATATGAAATTAGACGTATGTCATTCATAGTTATAACAGTGCTGATGTATGGTTAATGATGTACATGTAATTTAAAGTGAAAATGAGAGACACAGTTTTAATCCCTACATTTTGCTGGTAATAGTTATTGTTCTTTTACGTAAAACTATGAACTTTTAGCTGTAATAACGTATTTTTATACTGCATCATTGCTACTTTATCTTAAGTAAAATCTCTTAATATTTTTTTCCACCACTGTTAATTTTCTCTTTATTTTTAGGTCTACCCGGCTTATTAATGGACTGTATCCATGTTGCTCTTTCCTGCCTGCTAAAATCGATTTCTCTGTGATCCTCTAGAGGGCGCTGACGTTCAGGCCGTGTAGTCAAACGCTGTTGTGTAAATCGTCGATTGCCGAGTCATGGATTAGCTGTTGTTTAACACACGCGCTACAAGGACAACCTCTTCAGCAGCATGACTACAGACACCTAACTGTGTATGCCTTTCACTCTCAGCTGTCAGGCACGTTAGAAACTGTTGTTAAAGCTGTTTATAGCCGGGTAAGCTATTCAACAGTTAGTAGCTCGTAGCGGATTTGCTAGCTTCTCTGGAGTAGCCTCTGTTATTGACTTCAAGTACGTGTGAAGTTGACAACAACAACCCGGTAAATACGGTAATGTTACAACTAACAACAGCGTGTTACTTCATGTCTATAGTCGCTGAATTATATAGCATATAACAGTATTACATTTCCTTTGCTTGTTGTGCATTTGGCCTGTCAATGTGCATGGTATTGGAGTAGGTATACTAACAGTTTACACTTAAATTGTCATTCGTATGAAGTGTTTTTGCCCACCATATTTGGCAAACATTCCGATAATGGTTGGTAAATGGGTTGTGTGGTGGTGATTTATAACCAGCAGCAAAAGCAGGTGCAATAGTGAACCATGACTCAGCTACTAAATGTCAGTGAAGTCACAGCCAAATATAACAGAGCCAAGCAGACAGACAGCCAAGTGTGTGTTGGATCTAAAAGAGAGGGACTCTTGCTTTGTTTGGAGGATATTTTCAGTTATAAGGCTCTATTTTATTTTTTAGCATGTTTCCTGCGTTCTGGAGGTTTAAGCTGTTTTGTCTTTGCACTTAATCAGTGGTTGTTTCACATCTCTAATGAAATCATTTGTCTCTCCCCAGCTCCAGCCATGGTGTTTCTGCAGAGCTACTGCGAAGCCAATTCCTCCATCTCCCACACCTGGGTGGATGAAGGTATCTCCCCCTGCTTCTACTTCACGCTGGTCCCCACCATCCTGCTCACCATCGCCTTCTTCCTCGGCACCATCCACTGCATATTCTACCAGAAATATGGCACAGCAATGGAACCCAAGTTCATCCCACGCTCCCGCCTCTATGGTTTTCAGCAGGCCGTCTCGATCCTTCTCCTCCTCCAGTTTTTGAGTGGGACAGTGTGGCGGGCTGCCAGCGGAGGAGAGCTCCCAGGCTATGTGCTGCTGTATGGCTGCTTCTCTGTGCTGGCCTGGGCCTGGGCTATAGCACTGCTCAGGGTGGAGAGACGCAGGGTCCTGGTGATGGACCGGTCAAGGGGGCACAGCGCGGTCCTCCTGCTCTTCTGGGCCTTGGCTTTCTCAGCTGAGAACTTAGCCTTCATCTCCTGGTACAGTCCTCACTGGTGGTGGGCGCTGGAGAACAATCAACAGCAGGTAAGAGAAGATTCATTTTTTTCAGCCTTTTTTTTTAAAATAGAAAAAGACAGACTCAACAGTGCTTGGTGTGATGTTTTAACACTATTTCCAGGCTGAGCCACTGTTGTCTATACTAGCATGCAGCTTGTGAATGGCAGTTTATCTACATTCCTATCTATTCAAGATTTTGTATTTAGGATTTTCTATCTATTCATAAGCTTTATTAACTTAGTTTCTCTAATGTTATGAGAATGCACTGATAGTGTATGTTCTTATTCTGCATAGTGATAAAACTCCTTTCACAGTTAGTATTTTATAATCTTAGTGATGTGTGTTTTAGTAGTCCAACGAGCCAAAGGTTAGTTATTTATCAAAGATATGCATGTCTTATGAGTCACTCTGCTCAAAGCTATGCAGCCATTCGTGTTTCAGGTGTAACAAAGTATCCACCCTGCTAACGAGGCGAGACAAGCTTGCATGTCAAAAGTGCAAAACACCAGTAGAGCATAAGACTAAAGCCTTTTTTGCTGAGTCATTTCCAGGTCTTACTCTCAGATCCCTAGTGCTACACTGTTAACCAATCAAATCATAAGACAAAATGTAGTCCCTCCCACAATGAGTCAGTTGCAGGAGGTTCAACTTTGTGTTTGTATAACTAAGCATGACTTGACATTTATTCACTCTTGACTTTTAAAGAGTTCTTATTATTATTTTATCTGCCCTTCACTTAAAATGTTGTTTGTAATATGCAGTGGTACTCCTCAGATTTCCACCCCTTTTTTAAGAGCAACCTACAATAAATATTAGTATAATTGATAACAGTAACTCGTATGATAACACAGCGATGTTAGTTACTCAGAGGCTGTCCTTTTATTGTGAAGGACACATCTAGTGCAGCTATCAAATTATTCATTTTCTCATGCACGACTGTTTTACAGCCATTAAATTGTGCGATGTGGTGTCCATATTGATCTGTTTTAAATTGTCTATGCACCCCTCAGGTGCAGTTTGCCCTGTGGCTAATGCGCTACATTGGCACCGGGCTGCTCTTCTTCATTGGTCTCAAAGCCCCGGGGTTGCCACGGAGACCGTACATGCTATTGATAAATGAAGATGAGCGGGATGTAGAGAACAGTGGACAGGTAGTGATGCACAACTCACAACATTAAAACCTGGGACGCCCTGTATTCTGCTGTTATACACTATCCGGTGCTGTGTTAGGCACTTAATGTGTTTCTCTATCTCAGAGTCTTTTGGGCAGAACACAGGACAACCAGTCTACCTGGCAGGGTTTCAGAAAGAAGGTGCGTCTGCTTGTTCCCTACATGTGGCCCCGAGGAAACATCTTCCTCCAGCTGCTGGTCGTCTTCTGTTTAGGGCTGCTGGGAGTCGAGAGGGCTATTAATGTCTTTGTACCCATTTACTACAAGAACATTGGTGAGTCACATATCTTTTTATTTTGCCCTGTAGAGTCAAATGTTCAAATGTTTTATTTCAGAGCTGCTTCTCAAGCGAAACGTCCTGTTTCTGCCTGCGCCGAGCTAATAGTGGTTTTCATTATTTCACTTTGAACCACAGGCCCGAAAAGCCTCAAGAGCCATGTAAAAACATGCCATCGAATAATGTTGAAAATACACCTAGAGGCTTGTTGACAGACTCATCAACATCACTGTTCCTCAGGACGTGTGATCCGATAAAATTGAGCCAACCTTCTCTTGATATTTCTGAGCTTCCAGAGGGCCAGAGAGAGGAATATAAAATACCCTGGTGTCAAAGAACGCCTTCAGAATTTCACTCGCCGTGTATATCGTCTTGTTTATCTCCTTATCTTCGAGCCAAATACCTGACCTTTTTCTAATTTACCTTTTATGTCTTCATCCCTCTCTCAGTCAATGAACTGACTAATCGCAGCAGCTGGTACACTGTGGCCACTACAGTGTGTATTTATGTCCTGCTCAAGTTCCTGCAGGGCGGAGGGGCAGGTAAGACTGGACTGGATGGATAATGTAGTGACTCTGTTCTGTCACAAAAGATGTACAAAGGCGATACTGCACATTGATTCCCCGCCTCAAATCACATGTCACACGACCATAGTAGCACCCGCATCCTTGCCTCTCCCCAGGTGCCTCGGGGTTTGTCAGCAACATGCGCTCTTTCCTGTGGATCCGGGTGCAGCAGTTCACCAACCGCGTGGTCCAGGTGCGTCTGTTCGCCCACTTGCACTCCCTCTCCCTGCGCTGGCACCTGGGCCGCAAAACCGGTGACGTGCTGAGAAGCATCGACCGCGGCACCTCCTCCATTAACAGCTTGCTCAGGTAAGATGTTACAGGATGTGATGCTGGATTATCAACTGGAAATTTTAGATATATGTAGCAGGACCACAGTTTTTCCTGGACTCAAATTTTTATTGCAATGACTCAACTGTCCCTTCTTCTTTCACAGCTACATAGTGTTCAGCATCTTCCCTACTATCGCTGATATTGTCATCTCTATCATCTACTTCATCACATATTTCAATGCCTGGTTCGGCCTCATCATCTTCATCTGCATGGCCCTGTACCTCAGTGAGTTGCACACTTTGAACCATAGCTTTGCCACTGATTAATGATTTAAAAAAAAGTTGAAGTTGAACATAGCCCCAAATAAAACATGTGTATCCACCAGCTTTGACCATCATCATCACTGAGTGGAGGACCAAGTACAGGCGAGACATGAATCTGCAGGACAACAATGCCAAGTCCAAGGCTGTGGACTCTTTGTTAAACTTTGAGACGGTACGTCAAACATTTTGTTGTCCAGCTGACTTTTGGATCATGGAGACGTTTCAAAATAATTCCAAGAAACATGCTTTTTTTTTGTCTTTTTATAGGTAAAATACTACAATGCAGAGAACTATGAAGTCGGCCGTTTCGAGGATACCATCTTAAAATATCAGGTATTTATTCATAACAACCAATTAATTGGTTAATTGGTTTAGCAGAATACTGAACACAGCCACTAGAAGAAATCCAGGATGCAGGAAATAGAATTATTTATTTCTTTTTTATGGTTTAGTTTCAAAATAAAGAGAACAAGAAAAAGACAAATGTCAGTGGTCTGCTTCAAGCAGATCATGAAAACAGAGTATTGTTGTTGTAGGAGATTATTTTGACAGCATGTTGTCTGCATTTATACAAGGAGCAGTGACTGTAGTTGTTATACATATGTATGTATATATATATATATATCCATTATTACAATTTTTATACAGTCCTGCGTCTGATTGTTCTTGTCTCCTCCTGTTGTAGGTGTCAGAGTGGAAGACCCAGGCGTCCTTGGCTTTCCTCAACCAAACACAGAACGCCATCATCGGAACAGGCCTGCTGGCCGGCTCCCTGCTCTGTGCCTACTTTGTGACTGAAGGAAAGTTCCAGGTACTGACCACACTGACGAAACTGAACACTTTTAAGATGATGTCTTGAAATAGGTAAAAGTTTATTCCATGTGTTACTTCGTCCCATTGAAAAAATCCTCTTATCCTCCAAGGTTGGAGATTTTGTCCTCTTCGGTACCTACATCATCCAGCTCTACACCCCTCTCAACTGGTTTGGAACCTACTACAGGTAAGAAGAGGCATAGCAAGGATCCATCTGCCTTAATTCTCTGAATTGTATGTTACTGCCTGTTCTTGTTGTTAACTGTTGACTGTATTTTTTTTTTACTGCAGAATGATCCAGAATTCTTTCATTGACATGGAGAACATGTTTAAACTTTTCGAAGAAGAGGAAGAGGTACACGTGAAACTGACACATCTGTGTTTACACCCTCAGTCCTGTAGTATGATCTGCTTTTTAAAATGTTCTGTCTTCGTTTCCCTCTGCAGGTGAAAGATGAAGTGAATGCAGGGAACCTTCTCTACAAACTGGGAAAAGTGGAGTTTGAGAATGTTTACTTCAGCTACACGAATGGGTTGGTTCACATTTGCTTTAATGGCTTTGGTAAAACTTTATGATGTGTTAAGTTCTTGAGCCGAGTTAGAGTTTTACGAGACTATGCATTTACATGTTAAACTGTTTTACAGCAAGGAGATTCTGAAGGACGTTTCCTTCACTGTCCTGCCAGGACAAACAGTCGCCCTGGTAAGTCTGAGGAGCAAATGTCAGCCCTCTGCTCACTAGCCCTGACTGTGTTTATGCTTTCTCTCCTGAGATTGAATCCTCATTGCTTTCTGTTCATCACCCCAGGTTGGACCGTCAGGGTCTGGGAAGAGCACCATCATTCGACTGCTCTTCCGTTTCTATGACATTCAGGGAGGCAGCATTAGCATCGACGGCCAGGATATATCAAAAGTGAGTGACAAGCGCAGTGTGTATGTGCTGGGGGTGAACAGAATAACATGAATAAATATTACCTGGTAGGTTCAACAACATTATGAACTGTGGCCACAATAATTACATTTGAGTTCACAATGTCCATGTGATACATTATCTATTAAATTTAATATTTGAAGCTTCACAATGTGAGCAAACATCAGTGACATAGAAGGACAGCTTGATATAGTGCCACCAGAGCTAAACAGCAAGTCCTCATACGCATTACAAGGCGCTGTAAATCACTTCATGTGCAAATGAAGTCATTAAACTGCTACAAGTATAAATTAGCCCCTGGTTATTTTGCTTTTGAGATTACCAAGAGCAATGAAAGCACAATAGTTATAGTGCCTTTAATATAGCTGTATGTGACCGTGTGTGTTTACATAGGCTCACCGCGGACTAGTTATTATTTTGTCTTCATTGTCCTTCCTCAGGTGAAGCAGACATCTCTGCGAGCTCATATCGGCGTGGTTCCCCAGGATACCGTGCTTTTCAACGACAACATCCGAGATAATATTCGCTACGGTCGCATCACTGCTACTGACCAGGAGGTGGAGGAGGCTGCTATAGCTGCTGATATCCATGAGAAAATCATGACCTTCCCTGAAGGTAACTTATCGATTAACCCTCTGGCAATTTTTTTTAAATTTTTTTTTATCTGAAAGCAGAGCAGCTGTAAGATCTCATCCTATATTGCACAAGCTATTTTTTACCATCTACCTCGTTTTTTTCAGGTTATGATACGCAGGTGGGTGAAAGAGGTCTGAAGCTGAGTGGAGGAGAGAAGCAGAGGGTGGCCATTGCCAGAACTATCCTCAAAGCACCACAGATCATCCTGCTGGATGAGGTGAGACATCTGAGTGGACAAGCAGACAGAAACTGAACCAGTTGCTGCTCAGCTTTTACTTAAATGAAAGAACTTATTGCACAACTTCTTTCACCATGTTTGACTATTATTCAACACTGAATGGCTGTCATAGCTGTTCTAACAGATAGTGTCTCTCTGCAGGCCACCTCTGCGCTAGACACACAAACAGAACGCAACATCCAGGCCTCACTGGCTAAAGTCTGTGCCAATCGGACAACAGTTGTTGTCGCTCACAGGTAAATGAGCCATGTTTTATTGGGCCTTTTCTCCTCTAAGTTTGTTAATTTGTGTAAAGAAGACAGTGGTTTTATCTGATGAGTTGTGTGGGTCCTTTCGTTTTGTTTTGTTTTTACATAAAAGGTTGTCCACCATCATCGGAGCAGACCAGATTCTTGTTATAAGTGATGGCCGGATAGCTGAGCGAGGACGGTAAGTGTGCCTTATTGATCTATTGTTCTGACAACCATACAGTACATGCTCTTGCTCACTGGAGCGATAGTGACTCACCTTCTCTCCATCCAAGACACGAGGAATTGCTACTCAAGGGAGGCATGTATGCAGACATGTGGATGAAACAGCAGCAGGCCCAGGACTCAGATTCCCCGTCAGACACGGAAGCCAAAGATCTCAAGTCTGAGAAACTGCAGCCACCGTCAACTTCTTCAGGCCACCACAGCCGCTGAATGTATTTTTTTTTTGTTTGTTGTAAAAGAGAACTCAACATTTTAAATCCCGTTTTTTTTTTTTATTTGTAAAAAGTTAAAGCTGATTTTAATGTAACACCTAGATGAAAATGTTATTTATTTGTAAAAATTTCCAACTAAATGTGCAAAGGCAGGAGGGAAGGTGCCTTATGCTGGAGGAGGCAGAAACACAGGGGAAGTGTTCAGAAATGTATCAAAAGACATTTGTAGTATTAGTTGTGATAATGCAGAAAGTTTTTAATGTAGGAACAAGAGCAGAAATGTTGAATTATTACCACATTGTAAAAAAACAGATGTAGATACTAATTTGTAAAGATTTCAAAACAATAAGTTCAGTGCAAGGCTAATGAAAAGTAATGCATGTTATATCATACCTCCATCAGGTGGCACCCTGTCTCATCTTATTATAAGGAAGTTTTTATTTTTAAAAGCACTCCCACCACTTTTTTATCTTTTTTTTTAGTACATATATATATATATATATATATAAAACACACTTTTGTTGGTTTGTGCTGTCTGATAGATTATGTAAAGATACAAAAGGAAGAGTTGCAAGAAATGTGGCAATAAAAACACTAATCACAGCCTCAACATTGCATCTTGTCGGGCTGAGAGGCTAATGATTCTTTTTCCCACTGAATTAAATGATAATGACAATTGTTCGATAAACAAGCTGTCAGGGATTTTATTCAGCTTCGTTTTATTTTAGTTTCTGGTTAATCTCTGAGCTCTGCTGTTATTTAAAGTGATATATTTTTTTATTGTGTAAGCCTCTGTATACTTTTGATCACTAAGATAAAATGGGATGGTGTTGATCATCTGCATCATTGTGTTGTCTGTATTGTGAAGAATTAATTTTTACTAAAGAAGTTAGGATACAATGTGGCAATGTAGGAATTTTTTTAATTGCTTTTGGCAAACTGGCTGATTTGCATTTAAAGTTGTACAATCCATGTCTGCCTGTTGTTGGCAGTTAAACACAATAGAGCTGATTATACCATCAAACTCAAAGGCCAATGCGGTAAGAAAACCTACTGTTATTCTCACTTAATGTAACATATAAGTACATGCAATCATATACAGTATTTCAAAATATGAATTTAATGTCTTACATCTACCTCATAAAGGTACTGTTCATTATTATTACATATTGTAATTGAGTTTTGTCTTGTACTTATGAACAATAAAAGTTTTTTCCATGGATTTGTATGTAAAATCAGAAGACATTCGTATATGACCCAAATATTGGATCAATGTTTCAATTCTGTTGTTGCTCATATTTCATACAGACTACTGAAGGTATGGCAAAGTGCCAGCATGTGCTTATCAATTAAAAATGTAAACCTACATAGAAACATCATAACAATAAATGTATCGTTTGGCCAATAGGAGATCATGGCTGTTGTGTAACTTCCACAGTGCGACCCCGCCCAGTCCCAGCATCTGTGTCTGTCTGGAAAGAGCCAAACTGCTGGAGGCTCCCTTCGTCACTGACTGTAGCACCCGGTCAGGGCGTGTGTTGCTAGCTCTTCCAGCCAGGCGGGGGCTAAGCGGTCGTCTTTTCATTATTCGCCTGACTAATGTTTTATCGATAGGAGATATGGATTTCGACGCTTTATTCAACGAAAAGACGTTTCAGTTCTCGGACTTCCAGGAGTTCACGGTATGTTGTTGAGTTACGCTGGGTCAGCAAACTGCGGAAGCCATCGCTAGGCGCATTAGCTAGCATTAGCTGACGTTCATGTCAGTGAGGTTAGTTAACGGTGGGTCCCTTATCCCAGTGTGTGTTTACCGACGACAAAAGTTGACTATATTGCCATGCTAAATGATTCTGACTAATATTTAATAATTTGTCACTTAAAATTGAAAAAAAACGTTAGCCCCAATAGCTAACATTATTACTTAGTTAGCCACTGTCACTTTAAGGTTCACTTTCTGTTGACCTGCTACGGGCCTAGCATTAGCTTAGCTAATATCCTTATATAGTATCAGAGACAGTAGAGAAATATAAGTATTGAGGATCTTTGATAATATGCTATACAGTTGCTGTAAACGAATGTGTCGATTAAAGCATTCGTAAATTTGCTTGTAAATCAAATTAGTGAGCATATGTCTTTGCTTACAGGAAACGTTTTACGTCAACCTAACTTGTCTAGCCTAACCTAGTTCCCCAAAACTGCAGCTATAGTAACACAGCTCATTTTACTGTTTTACAGTTTCTTCCTGGACACCAGAAGTTGACTGAAAGAGTGAGAAAGCGACTATATTATGGCCTGGACAAAGACGTTTCTTTAGATGCCCTCTCTTGCCCTGTTACAGGTGAGTTTAATATTAGCTTTTGGACTAGGTTAGTACAAAGAACTGAGCACTTTCATAAAAATCAAAAGCAAAGTCAGCATCAAGAAAGGGAAACTTTTGTGTTTGTAAAACATTTTTGGTAGAAGTTCAAAGTTGTGCCAGTATACAACTTGCTCAGTACATGTCCACAATTAATGTATATATGTAAAAATAGTTGCAATCATGTGAGAGTCAACTTTTATCTTTACTTTCCACTATCTCAGATATTGCCGTCGAAATCTTCCAGAAGTCTGCCCCAAGCCCAATACGAAAGCTCCAGAAGAAGTATGCAGCTCATGTTGCCAGGTATGTACTGTGTTATATACACTTTTGCATAGACTGCACAATCTTACTGGGACTAAATTTAACACTGCCATTTCTACACTGAAAGCTATTTATTTTTCCTTCAGGGAGGCTTGCATCTCTCCATGTGCCATGATGCTGGCTCTAGTTTACATAGAACGGCTCCGACATAGAAACCCTGAATACCTACAAAAGATCTCCTCCTCTGACCTCTTCCTGATCTCTATGGTATGTGTTTCAATAATAATAATAATACATTTTATTTAAAGGCGCCTTTCTTGTCCTTGAGTGCCAAGAAAGGCGCCTTTAAATAAAATGTATTATTATTATTATTATTAAAGGTATAATAACATGTTCACCACTCTTTTCAGAGTGGAGTTTGATACCTTTTTTCTTATACTGCTGTTTTCTGCAATTAATAGATAGTTTATTAACAAAGCACTGATCTCTCACTTTGAATTAGATGGTTGCCAGCAAGTACCTGTATGACGAAGGAGAGGAAGAAGAAGTTTTCAACGATGAGTGGGGAGCAGCTGGGAAGCTGGACGTGCAAACTGTCAATAACCTGGAGATGAACTTCTTGAATGCCATTGTAAGTGGCACTTTATGTGTTTGTCGTGTGTCCCTGCAGATGTGTATGGTTCAGGTTCTTTGTCCCAACCCATGTGTCATATCTTCTAGGAATGGAGCCTTTTCACAGAGCCAAATGACTTCTTTGATATACTGAGTCATCTGGAAACCAGGTTGGTTTGTCAACTTCACCACAAAAGTGTCTGCAACAAATTTCAGCCCCCCAAATGGACATTTAAAAGCCAGCTTACATTCTCTGTAGTTCAGTGTTGTAAAACAAAATATGAAAAAGTGCTGTGAATCCTTTCTGTAGCAGCAAAACCAGTTTGTGAAAGGAATATTTCTGACTCGGCCTCTGTGTCCTCAGCATTGCAGAGCGGCAGGGGATGAAACGTGGCTGGTTCACCTACACTGACCTCTGTGTACTGCTAGAGCAATCAGCATGGAGTCAGGCCCTCACAGCCATCTACCAGCACTTTACTAAGGTGAGAGGGGGATTTGATTTGAAGGCAGCTGCAAGGATATTTATATGTGTGGGCAAGATCTCATGATGGGAGCCTCAGGCATATTTTTTAAATGTCTTTTTGTTTTTGTTCTTCATTTATAACTCGCAACTAAGCAAACAACTCAACAGTCAAAACAGTCCAGGGAGAGTTGAGTCTTTTAGATTTGATTGTAAGATTTAATCTCATTTTCTTCTCAGGTATCCTGTATGCTCGGCTTGGTCTATCTGACCAGTGTGGCTGGCCTTATTGCCACCAGCGCTGTCCTGCACCAGCTCAGTCTCTCCAGGAGCGGCCAGTCCCCGTTTGCACCCACAGCAGAGACCAGCCCGGCCCACCTTCAGACCTCCAACCTAAACCCAGAAGCTCCTGCAGCAGTCCAGCGCCCCCCCTGTTGTGTTCAAGCCAACAAGAGCCTGAACCGTCAGACCAATGCACTTGGAATAGGTCACAGACAAACTCCCCCATCGGCTTCCTCACAGACATCAGTATTGTGTCTCTGGGGCTCCCTCCTTGCCTCAATGGGTCACATACATCCTGAAACCAAGTCTGAAATGGAAGCTTCCCATACCTGGTCTACGGCCTCCTTCTTCTGTCCTGGCTGTCTTGCAACCCTCCCTCCTCTTCAGTGTGGGCTTAAAAACACCTCGGCACTCTTCACTCATGGTTCCCCTGACAACCATCAGCGTCATGCACCGTGGCTGGCCTCCAGCCTCCTCGGAGCCACAGAGCCAAGTCTGAACTCTCGCCTGGGGGTGTTTCCCCCTGTACAGCTGGGACCCTGCCACCCAGAGTCTATGAAAGCCCAAGCTCTGCTCATGCCCGGCTAGAGACCTGCAAACACCACTGCTGTCAACCTGTTAAATAGACTCTGGAAATTGAACCAGCATCATTTTCATGGCTCATCAACTGCTTGAAGTCATGTTTTGTTTACTTTTCCAGATCTAGAAATACAGGTGTGAAGATGAGGAATTAGGCACATGTCAGACAGAGTGAGAGTTTGATAACACAGCACAGGGTGAAGGTTCACTAATGCACTTATAGTTCACAACTGCAGAATAAATTTGCCATAAGTAAAATGCCATAGTTTTTGGTTAACGCGCTGCAGACAAGGAATTTGTGGAATTTGAGGATAATTTAATATTTTTCTTGGCTTCAACCAAATTGTTTTACTACCCACATTTTTCATTGTTTGTGTTTTGACTTGATGAAAGTGTGCGGAGGTTATACAGCGTATCTGAAAGGTGAAAGTTTCACAGTAAGTTCTTTTTTTTTTTTTCCTCTTTGATGGGACGTTGTGAAAAGAAGGGACTAAGTCAGTTTACTTTGTATACTGAATTTTGGCTTATCCATATTTGCTTACTGTTACCATATCTTTGCCGTGTGTGTATACAGATTTACACCAGACTTTGGTCGTACACATGCTGCAAGCACTGATTTTGTACACAAGATTTTTGTACACCAGTTACTTGTTGAACAAATTGTCTTCTGTCATTGTCAACTTTCACCTGTTATTCAGGAGAAAGCATCAAAGAAAAGAAACAGACTGTTCTTACACACTTTGTCTTCATACCTCAGTGGTACTGTCATTGCTCACACAGTGATCATTAACATCATCTCCTCTTATTCTGCTCATTTACAGCTTTTTTTTTTTCATCTCTTTTTCTTTCTATAGTAAAATTATTCACCAACTTTTATGTGGCAGCAGGATGTCACACAACCATAAAGCTACTTTCCTATAACAGTAACAGGGTAATGTTCAGCCAAATTTAAGAGATTAAAGAAGAAGTTTCTCATTCTCCAAGGGAAAGAAGTGTATAAAAAAAAAAAGATGGGCTCCTGGGGTTTTTACTCGGTTTCTAGTTGGTTTCTGGTTGGTGTTTTTGAAGTGAACATTTTAATACAACATGTAACGTGCTGAAGGATAACTGCAGGTTTTCTTTTTTTGTCTGGAATTTGCACATCTGGTTCCATTTAAATGTCAACTCTCATCCACTCCACATCGTGAAGCTCCTCTTTTAAAACACCAGAGAAAAATGTAAAGACTAGATTATTTTTATGTACACAGTTACACATGGTCCCCCAGGACGTTTACTTTGTAATTGAACCTTTGACGAATTGCTCTTAGCATTTCAATTTGATACACTTTGAAGCACCAAGTCCTTTAATTTTGTAAATGCTGTAAAATGCAAATATTGTAAAAAAAAAAAAAAAAAATCTGTAGAAAAAAACAATGGCTAATAAAGAATGCATTTCTTTGTGGCATTTGTTAGTTATTGTCTGTGTCAATGACAGTGTCAAGTTGACAGCCAACAATAAGCTATACGTTTGGACTCGGGGATCTTTGCTGTATGCAGCCTTGACATTTACTCTACATAGACCAAGGCTTTGTGCTATCTTATTTCTGACAGCAGGTGGTAGCCTCCACATAGGCTTTGAAAAATCCTATGAGCCATATTTGAAATAAAAAAAACACATTTTAACATCTTATTCTGTGCTAGAAATCATGCTCTATCTTGTGTGTGCTCTACCCCTCTGCAGTCAGTACACAATTGCAAAAATAATATCATTTGAAATGGCCATAAGTACAGATTGAGAATGCATGTTTCAGAATGAGATTGCATGTTTCACTGAGACGGGAAGCAAGTGTCTGATTTTGGCAGAATCTGAAGTGCCCCCCACCACCACCACCCCCTCAGCCAGTGCCAGCTCCTTTACCCCTCCCCTGCACCCCTAGCCAAACATACCACTTGAGAGCTCCTAATATAGACCCAACTGCTTTGTAGGAAAGGGTAAAGAACTGAGCAGAGCCACCAGCAGTCTTTTGAGTTTGCTGCTCTGAAAACAACTTTTTCATGGACACAACAGAATTATGGAGCCCCCTTCACAGGTGAAACTTTTTACTTTGGAATGAATATAACAAAGAGAAAAGTGTCGGCGGAGTTAAAGCTATTATTGGAACCGAGGAAATGACTAGCCTCAAGCTATTTTGACAATGTCATGTGGAGTTTTGATTGCTCTGTTGCAGGTGTCATTCCCAGAAAAGAAGAAGAAGGGAATACAGAAACAAGGTAACTGCTATGCATGTGTCTTTGGATCTGTGTAAATGTGTGTATGTGGATTTGTAGGCTTTTGTGCACACATGCAATTATAGGGATCTAGACTGTTTACTCTTTCTTACCACGTACTTGTAGTTGTGGCGTGTGTGTGTGTGTGTGTGTATGCATGAACAAACTCATGTCTGTATCTGATCTCTATTCAGACAGTGAGCTGTTGATCTATATGATTCCTCCTAGAGGCTGATGCCACCGTCTACATGAACTTCATGAAGAGCCACTGCTGCTATGAAGCCATTCCAACCAGCTCTAAACTGGTCATATTTGATACCACACTACAAGTAAGGCTGCAGCTGTTTAACGGCAGCAAGACGAGCTCATATATCCCGCACTGAGACACATAGCAGCTCGATTGCTCGGAAAAAAAACCTCACTCTTTTTTAACAGTGTGAATTTATCTATCTCCAAAGGTGAAAAAGGCCTTTTTTGCACTGGTGGCAAACGGCTTGAGGGCTGCGCCTCTGTGGGACAGCAAGTTACAGAGATTTGTGGGTAAGGGCGAAAGATTAACGGCGTAGCCCTCGTGAAGTATTGGTCACCATGAATGATAATAATGGTAACATAAATCCTTTTTCTGTCACAGGTATGCTGACTATTACGGATTTCATCAACATCCTCCATTGCTATTACAAGTCTCCTATGGTGAGCATGAATGCACTGCACTTTAAAGCCATATACACTCAGTTAAGTTTAATTTTTGTGCAGTTAGTTTCCAACTACTTTAAGATAGCACAGATATCATTTGACACCACATCTCCATATTATAAGCCACAGACGGTCATAAAAGAAGGTTATGTAATAAGTACAGTTGGAGTATTTGAGACATGAGCTCCTAAATGTCGGCACACACACAAACACAGCGTGAATCTCACACTTGACTGAAGGTCTTTGCAGTATTGGAATTTGACCTGTCATTAATCGAGAGTTACTGACTCATAACTCGACATTGTGGTTCCTCTCTAAAGGTTCAGATGTATGAGCTGGAGAGCCACAAGATTGAGACATGGAGAGGTGATTCATTTCAAAGTAAATAACCAACACAGATCAATGATATTATCTCTGTGTGCACACATCTCAGTGAGTTTCTATCAGTGCTTTATCTCTTCTTCTCCTTTGTCTTCTTCAGATGTCTACTTACAGTATTCCAATCACTTCCTCATTAGTATTTCTCCAGAGGCCAGGTGAGTGCACATCATACACTGTTTTGACTCTCATCCCTGCTGGGCAATAAATTCCTGTTGTCTCTCCTACTCTTTCCTCTCAGCCTCTTCGATGCCATCTATTCCTTACTCAAATATAAGATCCACAGGCTGCCCATCATCGACCCAGCGTCTGGAAATGTCCTGCATATCCTGACCCACAAACGAATCCTCAAGTTCCTCCATATATTTGTGAGAAAGCTTTTAATTCAGATATTTGGTGTTGTTTTTTTTTAAATTTTATTTAATGTGATTTTTATGCAAGTTTATCCTAAGATGCCGATTGGATGTTTTCAGGGGAGAAGGGTTCCTAAGCCTGCGTTCGTTCATGGGCAGATCCAGGAGCTTGGGATCGGAACTTTCAGGAACATCGCCACTGTTCAGCAAACAGCATCACTTTATGATGCCCTCTCTATATTTGTGGACAGGCGGGTGTCTGCGCTGCCGGTGGTGGACCAACAAGGTATACTGTTTAAGCATTTTTTAAAGATGATACATTATAGAGCTGTATTTATTACTATTGGTGGCTGTTACAGCATCCAAAAATATGTTTTCTCAGGCAAGGTGGTGGCACTCTACTCCAGATTTGATGTGATTGTAAGTACCACACAGGTTTATTATGCCCTGTCCTGTTTTTGTTTTTAATTATGACTCTATTTGAAATGATAAATTACACTGTGCAGCACTATTTGCTGACACCTGCTCAGAAACGTCGGTGTCTGTGCTCACCCCCTTGCAGAACCTAGCAGCCCAGAAGAGCTACGACAATCTGGACATGACTATGCTGGAAGCCGTTCGCAGGCGCACGTGTTTTGTGGAGGGAGTCATCAAGTGCTATCCTGATGAAACCCTGGAGACTATCATAGACCGTATCGTCAAAGCAGAGGTAGGGATTTTCTTTAAAATGATTCGGTCTCATTGGGAGTTCAACGGATTTCTTATATAATCACAAGATGCGATAAATGCGTTTCCTCTTCATCCCAGGTCCATCGGCTGGTCCTGGTGGACAGGGCTGATGTGGTGAGGGGCATCATCTCTCTGTCTGACCTGCTGCAGGCCATGGTCTTAACCCCTGCAGGTATTGACGCCCTTTTGTCCTAGCACCAGGGGACACTTCACTCCTTTACCACCCGTGTAGACATGAGCCCAGGCCATGTACCCAGGCAGGTAGGCTCTGGAGCCTCTCTTCCAACGCTGTGTGACCGATGCTTTGTAAGCAAGGATCGCCTTCATTTTCTGAGGATTCTCGTGACAGTTGCTGAGTGGAGTGATAGTAGCTTTTGTTTATCTCTTTCAGAAATCGCCACGTGATTGAATTGAGAGATCACAAGAGGAAGAAAAATTCCCCACCTGTGCTGTTGTTTACATTCAGATTCCTTCCATGATCTGTGTTAAATTCAAGTAACAATAACGGACAGTCAGCTGACCTTGATATTGTGATGAATCTCTGTAGGTCTCCAGCACCATATTGGCTGCATTTGATCAAATTGATCAATATATGTTTACTCAATACGGTAAATTTCTGTGCTGTATCATTGTATGATTTTCATTTTCATCATCACATTTGTATCCGAAATTGCTGGTGTGTGTTTTTTTTCAAAGTACATCCCCCTTGAGAAATACAATATGTTAAATATGGCTGAAACTGCTGGAAATGTTCTTATATGAGAGTACAAAAAAACTAATGATAGGAGCTATATATATATATATATGAGAAAGAATTTTACATAAAAATAAAACATACATAGACAATAGTCCTATCAAAATGTACACAAATACACTATCAGTAGTAATATCTGCAGTAGTAGAAATAGTAGTAGCACAGGTAGCTATGTGTTTTGGGGAGGACTTTAACAGAGCAAACATGCAGGACTAAAGTGTGTTATTATGCAACCTTCTTACAGCAGTGTCTCTTACCACACGGTGGTATGCTTGGGCTTTAACCCCATCCTCTCTATACAGTAAACAAGGAAACACGTGACTATATTTTTTTCTCATCCGTGACGGGCCTTGTGATCCGTCCGCCCATCTGTGTAATTGGTACATCAAGTTGCGAGAAATGATCAAGAATAATACCGGAAATTGATAGTGTCTTCAAAGTAAAATATCCTTGCGTTATATTAAATATGAGGCTAGCTGTAAAAAGAAAGAAGTATAGCTTTTGTTTGAGTCTCTAAACTTTGAACATGAAGATGTTTTGTAACCTGCTTTTGGTTTAATCAGAGACAGTAGGGTTTAATTAATCGGGAATATATGTAAATCACTACATTAACCTAGATCTTTTAACAGATGTGCATTGATTGGTACTCTGTGAACTTCTTGCCACATATCCGATAATGATTGATTTTGTTTAAATTTACAGTGATCGTTCTGTAATTATGATCCAATTTTTTACTCAAAAAATACATTTTCTCAATTCATAATTTTCGCCTTGTGTACTGTGCTACGTAATCGATGTTTTTTATTTTGAAGCTCACAAACGGAAGCTTTATTTTTGAGATCTGTAAAACTTGACGCTGATCTTTCCGTACACCCCGTGATCTCCAAAACAACATAACAAAGTGGGGGAAAACATGGCGAGCGGAGAGGAGGCCAGAAGACGCCCCTCGGTTACCTCCTCTTCGGTCGGCCTAGAGGCTCTGTTTCCTGCCGGGACATCGGAGCAGGCCTGCGGGGACGGAAACCCTGAGCTTGTCCGCCTGCGGGAGCGTCTTCAGGGTTGGCTATCGCAGTATGAGCCCCTGCTGCTGTGGGTACAGAGGCTGCTGGTCTGGGAGAGGCCGTTGTACAGCATCTCTGTCGCCCTGACACTCAACACATTATTCTGGTAACCGTCGAGACTGTGTTCAATCACGCTTGTCACCTCTCTGACAGCTCGATGAGGCTGTATTCAAGTGCATCATTAGCTAGGTGGCTAACGTCAGCGAGGATATTACGAGTGAATGTCAAGACAAGTTAGCTAATCCCATGTCTTTAGCCTAATGCTAACGTAGCTTGCAAGTCAGTTTAAACTTCATTTTAAGCACGGCTACTTTGTCGTCATGTATTGAACAATATCAGGAAATGCACAAATGCGGCGACAAAATAGGAAACCGGAGTTATTTTTAGTATTTACACTGTTAGCTTTTGTTTAGCTTAATCCCAACAAACACTCATGTCATGCTGAGTGGCCCAGGCCTTGTTAACCAGCTGTCAGTGACAGTTTAATACTTTCTCCTGCCTCATATTATACAAGACAATCTAATAGAGGTGCTATGTAGATATGTTTATTAAATCTAATGTGGGAAATGAGCTTACTAGCATTATGATTATGTTTATTATATTAGTATGTCAGTGTGTTGAACATAAGCCAATTGAGTGTTTACATGTCTCCACAGGCTCCTGTCCTACACCTCCCTGCGGCCTCTGTTCCTGCTGAGTTTGTCCCTGCTGGGACTTATGCTACTGGAGAGATGGAAGCCCAAGTTGCCCATCATTACTAGTAAGCCCCTTTATGTAATTTGAATCTGGTCCTCAAGTTTTACCACTTATTATCTAAGCAAATGTTCACTATGGCAAAATACACCATATTTTTTAAGTGCCAAGGTCAACAAGCAGAAACCTTAGAACATTTGTTAAGAGCATATTCACCCCTAGAGGTCCTATGGTAATCTTTAAAAAGTGCCTTTTTATTTGTCTACCAAAGTACATGTTCTGCTCATGGTCTCCGGCTAATTGTGTGTGTTTTTACTCCACGACAGTTCAACATGCAGAGGCTGACCCTGTACAAAGGTGTGTAGTATGTGTGCATGACAAACACAGCACTTACAATATAGTTTTTTCTGTGACATTACTCTTAAATTGGCTGCCTTCGTGTTTGACATTAATCTCATGTGTGACACCATATAATTGTAGCTAATTTTAGGCTACAGGTCAAGTTTTGTCTGCTGTGTTTGTTTTCATCTATGTGCGCCTCCCTCCCTTCACTGTCATAACATGAACATGGAATCCTACCTTACCTCTCTGAGTCACTGAACTACAACCTGAAGCACTCTTAAGTACAGGTTTTTGTTCTTTACAAGTGTTGATTTTGTCACTCTCTTCCTGTTTGTTTGTGTGTGTATTCTCGTTTGCATACAGTGAAACGATGAGTGTGGAGCAGCGTCTGCTCAGTATTCCTGAGCTCAGCCACCACCTGGCTGAGAGCTACCTGACCTGCTGCCTGTACCTGCAGGAGATGCTGCAGTACAAACGACAGAACCATGGCAAGGTACAGCACTTTGACTCAGACTGTTGAAAGTACAGATACGTTATTCCTCACTGTCCTGAGTTTATTCTAAAAGCCTGGGAGCAAACAAGTCTCTTGTTTAAAGTACACGCAGCCAATCTTGTGCAGTTCATTGATAGCATACAGAGCCAAACACTGTAAGTAAAAGTAAACATTGCTAACAATATGGCTGACTAAAAAAAATGCTTACAGGCTAAAAATCCTTTTTGGGAAGTTTGGGAATCTTCAAGGTGTGACACAAACTGCTGTTGCTACAGTTGCGAGAACTAACTTCTTTTCTTTCCACACACCTGCAGAGATGCCACTTTTTCACTTCCTCCTCTTGTCCCTTGCAGCCTGAAGGTGTGGTAGCTAATTTGTCTTATTTGCTCTGTTTCTCAGTTTTGTGTGATGATGTGCAGTGGCTGCTTTGTACTTGCCGTGGTTGGCCATTACGTACCAGGAATCATGATCTCCTATATTATAGGTGAGTGTCTGTGCAAAAAAACAGTTGTACTAAGCCCTTAATTTGAATGTTACTTTAGTAGGTAATACATGTATTTTAATATCTTTTAGTGTTGTATCTCTTCATACCTCATTCACATAACTGGGTTGTCATGACAAAAGCTGTCTTTTTGCATAACATGCACCCTGTGTCAATTTGCAGCATCTGGTTTTGTTACTTGCAAAGAGTAGAGAGTTTATAAAATGTTGAGTGTTTTTGTTTTTTCTTCTTCTGTTTCACTGTTCAGTCCTGAGTGTGCTGCTGTGGCCGCTGGTGGTCTACCACGAACTGATCCAGAGGATGTACACGGGCTTGGAGCCAATCCTGATGAAACTGGACTACAGCATGAAGGGAGATACCGAGCACCGCAAGCACGACAAGAGGAGTGAGTGCTGCTGTGACACCTCGAGGCTACAGATTTGGGCATATGTAATGTGTGCACACATGCTTCTACTTGGAACCGTTCCACAAGGACCTTAAGTTTTGAATCGATGCAGATCACCTTTCTTTCTCCTCAAACTGAACCTCAGACACGAATCAATGCAAACATTGAAAGAATAACACTGTAACTGTAACACTACCTGTTATATAACTGTAAATTGGACCGTGTCGACTATCAAGGAAGTGTCATTAAAAGTTCCTCTGGTTGCATTTGTTTCTAGATCCCATATCTCACATACAATGTGGTACACTCACTATCCTGTAGCTCACTTTAAGGTGTGGTACAAAACTGAGTGCCAATCCCCTTTTTTTTTTTTTTCTTTTCTTTTTTTTTTTGAATCATTTCTTTTAGTCATGAGTGTGTTTGTTTTGAACAGAGGTGAAGAAAGAGCTGGAGGAGGGTGACGAGCCAAGAGCCGAAACCGAGAGTGAGAGCGAGGAGGAGCTGTCTTGTTTTGCCCCAACGGTATGAGCACACACCCATAAACTCAACTCACATAGAGCCATATAGAGTAGACTTTTGAAAGTGTGAGTATATATGTATATTTTTTTCATTAAAGGGACTTCTGAAGTGTTGTGAAATAAATCTCTTTCAAGTACAACCACATTCCAAAAATGAAGCTAGGGTGTACATAGTTTATTCAGGTACTGACAGTTTTGATGTCTGGTATTCAGTCACTATGCTACGTCTGTGGAATGTATTAACACCTGCAGAGCACGGTGCCAACGTAAGAATATAAACGGCAGCTACTGTAATGATGAACTCTTGATGCCAAAGTCTGTTTGATGCATTTGTGTGTTAGCAGTGATGTAGTTATAATGCTGCGGTTCTCTTGCTCAGGTGGATGTGAAGACTACAGCTCTGGCGATGGCCATCACAGACTCGGAGTTGTCGGATGAGGAGGCATCCATCTTGGAGAGTGGAGGGTTCTCGGTGTCCAGAGCCACCACTCCTCAACTCACTGATGTCTCTGAAGGTAAATAATCACTCACATCAACAACATACTTCCGTTTATACAAATACAGAATTTTTTTTCTTTTTTGCTTAAAAGGAAGTCCAAAGGTTTGTTCCTATTTTTATCTTTGGAGGTAATGGAGGTTCTGTTTGTTTTTAAAACTGAAACTTATTATAATTAAGTGTAGGTGCTTGAATTGGTCGACATTCATTTTTTGGTGTCTCGTCTCTACCTGGATCTAGACCTGGACCAGCAGAGTTTACACAGCGACCCAGAGGAGTCCTACCTTCGGGATCTCCCCGAGTTTCCCTCAGTCGAGGAGTTCCCGTCCATCGAGCACAACCTGCTCCACTTTCCTCTGCGAGGTCCCAGCCAGGTCGAAGGAGCACAGGCTGGTGCTCAATCAGAGGATGAACCACTCAGCCCCGCCAGCCTCCTTATCCAGCACCTAGCGTCCCCGCTCCACTTTGTGAACACACACTTCAACGGACATGGACGACCACCACCAGGGAGTGAGGAGGGCATTTTGCCTGTGCCAGCCGCAGGGGAGGAAGCGAGGAGGCAGGGAGGAGAGGGGAAGGAAGCTGCAGTAACCCAGGGTGCACAGCAGTCCCTGGAGGCCTTGAGCGAGGAGATAGTGAGCACGGCCATCTCCACTGTGGTGCAGAACACTCTGTCAGCCCTGCTGCGCTCCAGTGAGGCCAGCGAGGACCCCTCTCTGGCTGAGTTCCTTCCCACTGAAACCCCACCGTGCGCTCTGGAGACCTCCACCCAACCCACCGACACCACTGCTGACACTACAGTTACTACAATAGGGGCGCTGGGGCCTGATGAGGAACTGGATGAGGCGATTACAACAGAAAGCGGCGCTGGCGAGGAGATGCCTGACGACACACTAGTTCCGACTGAGGAAGAAGACTTTGAGCTTCTGGACCAAAGTGAACTGGAGCAGTTGGATGAGGGGCTAGACCTCAGCTCTGACGGACAGGTGGCGGGAGGAGCTCCAGACATACCTCCATCTCCTCAACATCAACCACAGTCATAGCTTCCCTGTTGCCTCCCCCTGCCCCCACCAACAACTGTTTTGTTTTTATTTGTATGTTAGAACTACATTATATCCATGCATACTGCTATAAAACATTTATCAAAGAGTTGAATGCTGTCGGTTGTTGATAGTGTGACGGACGGTTGAGTTTACTCGGTCCATTCTGTTTTCATGTTTTCATATTATAGGGGTGTGTTCAGCTTTGGTACCTGAGTTGCGTCTAGTCCAGGACCATGACATTATCGGGATCAATAGCTACTATCAGGTGGCATTCATGACATCCTAGGTTTGATCTGTACAATTAAATACAAAGGCAAGAGCAGAAATCACCAATAATGCATTTACAGTAGAGTTTGTTGTGGTGTTACACTGCCTGCTGCGCTGATGGTATCATGTTAAGTGAGAGCAGGTTCGGGGCAGAGCTTGTGTTAGAAGTTATAGAGACATCATTATTGTCAGGGGCTGCTTTGTATTTTCCATCTGGGCTCTGAGGTTTGATGGTTTATCTGGCATGAAATTTGCTTGATAATTTAGCAAGCAAATTTCTCACCACATAATGAAAACCCTGTTCAAGTTCAGTCTGATGTCACAATAATGATGCCTTTTTATTTTCCACCTTGGGTAAGAGCTGGACCCTTCCAACTTGTTTTCGTTCAGAAGAAGTTTATCCAGATGGTGTTATGAAATGTTGGAATGTTGGATTATATAACTATTAATATATACTATAAATTATTTTATTTAATTGTCAGTTGATGAAACTTTATTGTTGAGCTGAGAGGGAGTTTGAAAGTAAATTCTATCCCTTCAGTTGCCAATAATGATTGTATAATAAGCGTTTTTAATGATGGCACCATGGACGTCCAGGTTTCCCAGAGTTGGTCTTAGTAAAACAATAGTATTATCCTTCACTTTACCCATACTTCCCAGGTCTCTACAGTTCTGACAGAAGCAGTCATTAGTGGTCTTTCACTTGTTGCCTGGAAATGGAAACTTAATCTTTGACATTGTTGGATGTTGACAAGTAGTGGATCCGTTACCCGTACACATAAGTGACTTTGATGTGGCAAGATAAAAAGAATTGTTCCTGATTTTCCTCTTTGTGATTGATGCCTCATTTTTATTTATATGTGAGAATACAATTTAATTTCTTACATCCATATTGTAATCGGTCCATATGTAATTGAATTTACTCTTGATCTACAACTTTGTTGAAAAACAGGCGTCTTGTTAGATAGGCCCGTCTATACCCGACTATTTGTACATGTATAGTCATCACTGGGATATGTATTTTTACCAAATAATCTCTTTTGTGCCACGACAAGTCCATGCATGCCATGAATCACGCATGTATTTACCATAATCAATGTTTGAGGTCAATTTTCAAAAGAGTGTTACTTTTACTTGAGCAGATTTTTTTTTTCTGTTTTTGAAGAGACATAATACTTCAGATATTCCCCATGTATCTGGCCGCAGCTGGGGAAAATTGTTGACATGACAAAAAGAAATCTAGCACTATAATCGACTGAATGAAGAGGCCCGTTCTTGCTTTCCTAAACCACTCAGCATCCAAATCTCAGGGGTGGGTTGTACAAATTGAATATAACAGGCTATGTGTCCATTTCCCCCGACTTGTCGTAGTGCATTGTATTTGTACTAACCTTTTCCTTTTTTCAGTCAATGCCTCCTTGTGTATAGTGTAGAAATGCTAAAAAAGGAACGTGTATATTCTGCATGTAAAAACAGCACTCTGTTCAAGTTCTCCTTGTCAACTGACAAAGTACTGCACAATTTGTGAGGAAAAAAAGTCAATTTGAATGTTTCAGGTTAAAAGAGCCCATTGAGTTCAGTTTGATATTTAATTATCAACAAGGGGAAGACAAGTTTTGATGTGTCCTCATTTGTAAAAGACTACCCGACTGTAAATGGGTGGCAGGTGGTAACATCAGAATTAGAGGATATTAACAGACTAGTTTGTGTATGGTTGTAGTGTGTTTTATGCTTAAAATACGGCTTCTCGAACTATATAAAAAAAGGCACTTACTGAACTGTACAATTTTAAAAAAGGAATATATTTTCTAATTTCTCCTTTTTCCATAAAGTACTCAGTTTGATCTTTTACATCTAAAAATATAACAGCAATGGACGAGTTTCACAAAGCGGAAAAGATTTATTGTCATTAAACTGGTAAAATAAAACTGCAACTCCACATGTGAAACTAAGAGAATAAAAGAACAAACTGAAACAAACTTTATCTGGATTATTTCTACTTCTAACATGTTTTTGTCTGTGTAATCAACTTTCTTCCTTCTTCATAACGATCATGTCATTTTCTGATTCAAGTTCTTTTTCCTGAAAAAGAAAAACAACTCTATTAGTCGCGTTTTTCTAAATACCATATGTTTAACTGCTAATAACACTTTGTAGCTATGAGACAACGTCCCTCAGTATTTTTGTAACTTGACATACCCGCCTGAGTTCACTAGCAGAAAGCTGAAGTCTCTCCTTCAGCTCATCTCCAACAGTCACATCAAACAGCACAGACCATTTACCCTCTGTGAAGGTAACTGGAACTGAGAGGACGATGCCATCTGGGAGATTGTAGTAGCCTGCAAGTAGCCAAAAACAATCCCATTTCAACACTGGCTAGATCAGACAATTTTAGAGCTAAAAAAAAAAAATTTGAAGTTGAACTTCATCCCAGCCCTGTAAAATGTCTGAGGTCATTTTGTCACACATTGTGCTTGGCTGTGTTTCTACCTGGGCATAGTACACCCAGAGAGAAGATCTTATCTGGACTGCAAGTGCCATTCCAAGCCTTGAGGATGGTTAGGATCCCATTGGCAGCTGACATGGCAGCTGCTTGGCAGGTCTTTGAAGCCACGGCTGCACGCTGACAACGTACCAAGTCTTGTAAGTCTGTCTCCAACCATTTCCTGGAAGGAAGAAGGAGATCATTGGCTTTTTGCTATATCCCAGCACTGGGTGTTTTCAGAGCAGGCAGGTTTCTGGGTTAGATCATATTGTGCAATCAACACTGGCACAGACTGAATTCACAGTGGGGTATGGTTTGGTAGGCAGTAATTTCATGGTAGACATGTGCAAGACTGTGTCATATTATGTTTGTTTAGCCTGCCAAAGTGCAAGTTCGCTGGAGTTAACCAATACAGTGAATGCAGTAAAGTATATATTATATTAATATATATTATATTCATCTCAAGCACTATTGCATATTAATACTTATAATTTTTTTTTTTTTAATTGTTATTGTAACAAACCTGTCATGGAAAATCTTTAGGAGTGACTGGGAAAAGAAAGCTGGTCCTTTGATTGCCCCATCATAGTTGAAAACCTTCGCCCTCTGCAGGTCAATGTAGAAACTACCACTGATGTTTCCCCACACGATGAGATCTGTAATATCTAGAGTAAAGGAAGAGAGGGAAAACATTAGTCTTGCATGAAAGGTGCTGGTGCTAAAATGCAATGGAAGTATGATCTACAGGAGCTACCTGACGCCTTAACTCTCAGCTTCTTTGCCATAATGGCCTTGGCTTCATTCTCCAGTTGAGTTGCCATGGTGACAAATTGGTCGCTGTCAATTGACTGGGCATTGTCTACCAGAAGCGAACATCTCAGGTTGACAAATGAGTCACCAGACACAATCACCTTCACCTCCTTGTTGGCCCTTGTGTCAATCAGTTTTCCGTACTCTCTGTAGTGGTCTGAGACTTCCTTTACTTTCCTCTTCTTCCTCTCCTGCTCACTGTCATTCTCTGCATCACTGTCATCAGACCACCACTCATCCAGTAGGAGGATGACACCTGCTTCTTGAAAGGCTTGATCCAGATCTGTGTGAATGCTCACCTGTGAATAAATATTTAGGTGGCTTTATTTTCCTTCTGATATGATTAAAAAATGAACATTTTCTAAAAGGCCTATACCTGATGGAGTAGAGGGAGTCCCAGGTTCTCCATCTCTATCCTCAGTCCTTGTAATTGCTCCTCACCTCCCTCCAGGTCCAATAGGTGGAGACTGATTGCATCAACATGAGGGAACACTTCAGCAGAGAGCAGATTGGGGATCAGGAGGTGGCAGGTTGGGCTGAGAGCACTGGAAAGGTTACAGGTGATCTCTCAGATGAAAAACATATCCACAAATTTCTAATTTCTTCTTCTTTGATTTTGAGTTTTTCAACTAACCAACTAACCCACCTGCTGATCCATATGTGTAGAGGTTTGAAGAGACTGGCACGGTGCTGCTCCTCCACAATAAGGTTCATTTTGGTCTCCAGATTCTCTGCTGCAACACTCAGCATTATGTCTGTAGGCATGTCTGATGTGATATTGTAGTAGTCCTACACAGCCAGTGATTAAGAGAAACTTTGGCAGGTGTGGAAGTTTGAGCTTGGAAGTGATATCAATTGTGAAAATCTAATCTATGCCTACCTGACAATGCTCAAGGAAGTCACTGAAGCCCCCTAAGAGCATCCCTTTGCCTCCTTGGTCCACCAGCTCCCTCCAAACCAAAGGGGACTTCTTGTGTTTCCAGCCGTTTCTTTTGCAGGTGGCTTCCAGCCATTCCTGTTCAAACAGAGATCACATCGATGCAGTAAATATATACTAATGGTTTAAAAATCAAATAGATCTAAAAAAAAAAAAGAAAGAAAAAAAGAAATATCACCTTCCAGTCATCTGGGAGGATGGAGATCTTATGAGCCCTGAAGTTTGGCAGAGATCGTTTCAGAGCGTCTGCTAAAAGTTCCGCTTTGGCATAAAGAGGGCAGTCTGTTTTACCTGTAGAGGTTGAAACTCTATAAATAAGAAATGTGACATTCATTATACACAGTTAAATAGTAAAAGTTCAAACCTTAAATGAAACTTTACCAGCAAGCACAAATTTTGCCATTCTACCAGGGTAGCGTTGGTTGCTAAGAAACCAGGGATGTTGCACTTATTTGAGTCCGAGTCGGAAACACAACAAAAAATATCAAGCCGTGTCACGAAAATGGTCAAATGTTGGCTTTATTAACAACGAGTAAAATAGTATACTTCAGATGTTTTATATTCACAATAACAATTATTTATTATATTTCTTCTATTTTTAGTTTGACAATGCATGGTGTGCTACGTTGACAGGGGGAACAAATATGGCAGCGCACATAGCAGGAACAAGCGTGTTATGAGAATAGTATCTCACTGGACAGGAATCTCTTTTTACTTTTTTACTGTGATGTAGCTCCATTTCTCATCACTCAATCACTTTCTGGCCAAATGTTACTTGGTGCAGCAAGCGCCATGTGTTACTCCGGGACATTAATTTGTACACTAGAATAATAAGGTAGGTGGCTTCACTTAGCTAACCTTAGCTAATGCAACTAGCCAGATGAAGGAGGCAGTCTGTTGACCTTGTTGACAGCTTCGTAGCAGTACTTTGTAATAAATTATTAAATTGTGTAACTGTTTGCAGTCTGTGCGGCCGAAAATGTTAAGTGGAAAGTCAGATAGTTATTAATGCTAACTGAGTAATAGTTGCTATTGTTTGACTCCAGATGCAAAATTTTCTAAATACGTTGTTGCTATGACGCTAGATACTCGCTACTTGCTTCACACTGCTGAAATAAACTAGGACACTCGAGTGTAATGCTTCCTTTTCCACCCTTTTAGCGGCCTTTAAAGTATTCCATAACAATGTCTGTCTGGGTGACAGAGGAGGTCATGAGGAGGGCCGTGCGCTTCTGCAGGTCTCCATGGACACCGCGCAGTTTCCTGGTGACAACATCAATCCAAGAGACAAATTTCCCCACTCAGATGGTACACGTTTGTGGCACAAAGCAAAGCCAGCCATGCCGGGCTAGGAGTCTTGTCAGTTCAGTGAGGTTTTATTCACAGGATCGTATTCACAGTGAGGATTTGGAAGAGAAGGAGTCTTCTCCACTGGCAGATTCATCACTACCTGCTGGGACTACCTCAGGACTGATACAGAGGACGCAACCTTTCATTGACAAACTGTATCACTGTGGCTCCCCATCTGATGTGTTAGACTTAACCTGTCAATACGCACCCACAGTTCAACAGATCAGCAGCTGCCTGACACACATGTGGTCCACCACTAAGAAGATGACAGATGAGCAGCGGCGCTATGAGCTGCAGCTGATGTTTGAGCATCCTGCATTTGACAGGCTACTGCAAATGGCCATGAAGAGTGTGGGCTACATGCACAGTAAGGATGTGGCTCACTCTCTCCTGAGCATGGTCAATCTGGGCGTGCCTCAAAATAGCCGTGTGATCCAGACTTTGCTCCGAACTTGCCAGGTAGGCGGTCAAATATCGTCAATCAGCAAGCAAAGATGTTTTGTTAATAGTAATATTTTAGGATCTTTGTTTATCCAAATGTGTTTTATTGTCCACTAACAGGAGAAATTGAATCGCTTTGATGAGAAGAGCTTGTCCATCTTGGCCTCCTGTCTGGAACACATGGAGAACAGCCCCAACGTCAGTGCACTTAAGGAGGGCATGAGGTACAGCTTGTCAAATAATTCATATGGCTCATGAAGAAAGATGAGCATAGTGAAGCCTTTCTCCTAATTCAAAACTTACCACTTCTTTCTTGGATTCATTTACATTCTCTATTGTTGTTTCATGTCCTAGGCTGGTAGTTGAGGCCAGCCTTCCAGGGATCAAGAAAGTTATTTCTCTCCAGACCATGATGCGAATGCTGGGGAAGGATGCCCCGCTGAACCTCAAAAGGAAACTGGAGGTCAGTTTATGAGTCTCGATTTCGACCATATTTGGTATTCATATTCCTGTCAATGTGATTCTAACATTATCCAGCTTTATGATTGCCAGCTCTTGTGCAGATATGTCTTTGACTGCTCAACATTCTGGCTACTCTCACCATTGCTCACAGTCTGTCTAATTATTTTATGTTTTTATAGTTTTAGACTGTGATTTATATTTACTCTACTAAACACACTTGGTGAAAGAACAAGTGCTGATCCCTTAGCCATGGTTTATTTTGCTTGATATAAGCTTGCTGATACAATTATTATATATATACTATATTACTATATATACTCAGACTGTTTGTCCCCCCAAGTATCTCAAAAATTGACCTGTATTTTTACCTGTAGCCAAATCTGTTGCATTGTGACACTTGTCTTGCACATGTAATCCTCCAGAGAAAGGCTTTATCAATGACAGATGAGTTCAGCCTTCCTAACTCTCAGTACATGATCTCCACGATGGCCACAATGGGCTTTTACTCCAAACCACTGCTGGACATCTGTAGTAAGAAGATCACAGGTAAAATTTAAAAAATGGTTAAATGAAAGGACTCTGGACTTCTATTTTTAAGTCTTACCAACGTGCTATCACTCTTTCCACATCTGTCCTCTCTGGTAGAAAACCTCGATGAAATCCCCTTCAACAGATTGTTTTTAGTGCTGCAATCGTGTCGGGAGCTGCACTACAGAAACTTAGATCTGCTCACTGGCATTTCAGACTATGTCACGTCCATGCTCGACATATGGACCAACAAACAGGTGCTGCAACAGACAGATATCTTCGAACCCCTTTTTTGTGAAATGTTGAATATGAGGTTCGTCCTCCGCGATATATTTTATAAAAGACTGAAGATAAGTTCTTTCATTGTCTGTAATTGCATAATAAGAGTACAATTTAGTTTTTTCAAGAAAGCTAGATATAGTATATGATATTTGCCTGTCTAATATATTTGCTGGTAAGTTCTTTTTTACCTTCACTCTTGAACTTCCCTTCTTTCTTATCAGGTGCTCCTCTTCCTGTCTGTGTTTGAGAGCCTCATCTTCTGTCCTGCAGCCTTAATGGAGGGATATGCCAAGAAGGTGATCTCCAGGCCAGATGCCCTGACGCTTAAAGACCTCCTCTGTGTCCTGAAGGTGTACTCCTCTCTTAACTACGATCTGCAGCACCACAGACAACAGTAGGTCATTCGTGTGTCTGTCTTTCAGGTTATTTTGTTTATTGCTCACTTTAAGTTATGTGACTATTGCTTGCAAGGTTTGATGTCTGTGTTGGGTTTCATCTTGCTGCTGCAGGTTCCTGGATAGTCTCAGCCAGGTTCTGGACTCCTATCTGCCCAAGATCTCTGGATTCAACCTTTTAAAGGCTGTTTTCTATCTGTGTCTGCTGGGCCACTTCCCCTCTTCATCGCTGGAGCAGCTCCTGCAGAGCAGCACAATGGAGCAGTTTAACAATACACGTAAGACACTGAACACACACACACATACACACGCACAGTTGTCTTTATTCTTTATTTCCTTCGCTCTTGAATTTTTCGATTTCATCCATCTCAACTTCTTCTGTTTCTCCTCAGCGCCAAGATTTCTCCGGAAACAGGAGAGAAGGTTTCAGACGGTGGACTTGTGCCTCCGTCTTGACCGTCCTCCTCTCCCTCGTCCCCTGTCTGTCCCCCCATCTTTCCTGGGAGACCCCACACCCCACAGTCCATCAGCCAACCAGTGGCTCTCGCAGAGCCTGCAGAGCGTGGTGAGGGACCTGGCGGACACAGCGCTGCAGGAAATGGTGATGGTGGAGAACGTCTACCTTATAGGTAAAGAGGATATATAAGATACAGTGAGCACAGTTTCAGCTTGGGTTTATTTATTGGTGTGTTATGTCTTTTACTGTCTTTCTCTTTAATTGCTCAAGTACAAAAAAGCTCCAACCGAACATAGTCAAGCTAATTATTTTGATGATTATACTGAAAAGAGTTGAATGTGTCTGCATTTTTGCTCTGTTACTCAAACTTTGCATTTATTTGCTTTACAAAACGGTGTCAGAAAACAATTTAATCTGGTTGAGAAACCGTGACGCGAGCGAGCAGCTTTGTGTTTTTGACTCTCAGATGGTGTGATAACCAAAGCTCTGCCAAACCAAACCTCTGTGACTGAAGCGGGGAGCAGTGAAGGAGGAGACCTGTCTCCAGCAGAGAGCAGTCAAAGGTAAGATACCAGCATCAGCCTGCAGTTGATAACATCACCAGACACAATCTTTGAGCAAAATCTACAGTGGTATTTTACTTGTAGTTTTTTTTTTTTCCCTCCTAATATAATGTGCTCATGTCATGTTTGGTGACGTCCGATTGCCGTGACAGCAGGTGGAGCGGATGTTGTGGGGGTTTTGTTCTGGCAATGTCGTACTCTGACACATACTGTGATCAGAAATTACAAATATCTGATTCCAAAAACTGGACATGCAACAGACCGCAGACAGCTGGTCTAGACAGTCATATAAAGGGCTCATTAGAACATAAAGTGGTGTTCTAACAGCAGGACAACTTTGTAACTTATATCTATCACCGCAGTGATTACAGCTGCTGTGGAGTTTAAATCCCAGTTCTACTTAATTTAAAGGTTTGACTGAGGGAAATCAAGTACAGCTTTCAATCACTTACTTTGAGTGAGCAGCATGGTTTCAAACAACTTCAGAGTTGGTTAGAAATTCTGTGTTAAAAGAAGAACTTTAAAGTTTGTGCACATGTGTAGTTTTAACGCGCAGAGGTCGTCTTCTTGGTGTCGTTTTATTTTTTACATATTATGTTCCACGCTACACAGGAAGTCTCTCAAGTTGTCTTTTAATTTCATATGCAGAGTCTTTTCATTTATTTTATTTGTATAAACATTACACATAAATGTGACCAGCTGATGTATTGTAATGAAGTTTAACTTAAAGCAAATTTTCACCCACAGTTCTTTTGCAGGTCACAATTGAAACATAAACACATTTACTCATCTCTCTGCTCCACACAGATTATTTTTTAATCTTTTTTGTTAGTTGTTTTGTTTTTAAATCTGTCATCCATTGTTTTAAAAATTACATATACTTCAATTGAGCCCACTGATGCATTTTACCCCTGCAAATTCAACCAAATGGTTCCGATGATATACGATGTACTGACGAATGATCAGAGATAAATGTAAGCAGTGTGTAGTTTGTTGTTTGTATTGCATAAAGCCTGTTCTGGTCTTCTATCATTATGCTTAAAAAATCTAAAACTATAAAACTATATAGAGCTATAATAACCCTTCTGAGTAGAGATCTGTAGTGAAGTATGTGTCGAATGAGTCAGAAATACAAAAGGCTCCAAACACAGGATTATCTCGGTGAAAATGAAGACACCATCTCCTGTCTGTTTGTCAGGTTTCAGTTTTTTGTCCTCCTATGATGTTTTTCTAACCAAACCACTTTCGTCCTGTCATGCCTGTACCTCCATTCAAATTTTGACCTTTTGAAAGCTGACAAACCCTTCTCTTTATCTCCTAGCATTGCAGTAATTTGCGCACCACTCTCTGGTTTCTGCTTTGGTACATCCAATCCCTGCGGCCTCTTAGCGGTCAAGATTCGCCATCTGAAGATCTCGGGATATAACCCTGTCCTGGTGAGACCTCGCACTCAGTGATCACAGTTTGACTTTGGCTCTTCTTTTGTAAGGGTCCAGTAGTTGCTGACACCGTGTTAATATTCCTACATGCAAATGGCTTTTTTTCATATTCTAAAGTTGTTGAATCCTCATATCAGGAAGGAAGTAAGAATTACAGTTTATATAACCACAAACCTGCCTAGTACAACCACAAACCTGCCTTCAGCCACATGTTCCTTTCAGATATGAGTGGTAGCATTTTAGTGTCCAAAATATCAGCTGGAAAATATTGTGTTCCTCTGTGAGAGAAGCTCACTGACGTTAACTAAAACGCTTCCTCCAACATCAAATGATTCTCCAACGACAAATGGAGGCTGTGTGAGCGTTGAGTGCATGAGAGCGAGACTCACATCGTTCCCGATCCTGTTGTCCAGGTAACGGAGAGGGAGCTGCAGGCTGTCTCTGAGGAAAAGAGGACGGAGTTCCTCAGGGGACGGATCTTTCCAGAACGCCACAGACACCCTGAAACGGATCAGCTGCAACCTTGAAGACATGTTTCGAGTTAAATGGACACAATCATCATGAACATGCATTTTTATTGCTTTGGAAACAATTATTAAGAGAGAAATAAATTGAATTAAGTGTATAAAATCAGTGTGGTCCCTGGAAAATTGAGCTTAAAACCACATGAAGGGGTTTTTTTTTGTGATTGCAGTGATCCTCTGAACGTTATTTAGAAGGTCAAGTTGTACTTCTTTTTAGTTGCCAGTTGTAGATTTTTTTTTTTAAACTTGTACAGCAAAAACTGCTTGAATGAATCAAATGAATCAAGAGTTTTAAGATTTAAAAAGCCACTTCCTGATGAAGGCAAACAACTAACATTTAAATTTTTTTTTTTGCTCCAATCACACCTGTATGAGAGTGACTTTTTTTTAGCAATTTTAGAAGAAAACCTGCATTTTTCTTTGGGTGTGCACTCATTTCCCCAGTTTGTAAAAGAATCAGTCCTCACTAGAGAAGTGACTGTGGGGGAAGGAAAAATTCTTTTTTATCATGAAAGACGTTTGTTTTTAATCATCTGTCCCAAAATGGCTTGAGAAGCTAACAGAAGCAATATGTTAATCTTGCTGACACTTGCAGTAGTAGATGAGTAAAACCATGCAGCCAAATGAAACCAATAAAAGCCGCGTGTGCTTTGCAGTAGCTGCACAGAAACTGCAAGGTGAGCAAGGTAAAGGTGGAGTCCCTTTGAAGCAGCTACATCTGCAGACAGAACGACGAGGGAAAAACAGTAGATGGAGGGAGACAGGAAACGGTGCAGATTGTTATTGTTTGAAGCGTTTGCCTCTCCTTGTCGTATATCTGCTTCTCATCAACCTCTGACGATTTCACAGAAATATTCGCCTGCAAACTGGAAAAAGAAGCGTGATGTGATGTCAGTGGTATTTTGATTTTTTTTTTTTTTTTTTTGACACCATGGTTTCTGACAGCTTGTGTTTTTTTTTTGTTTTGTTTTTGTTTTTTCATTTTAAAATAGTGAACCGTTACCCACATGATACTACAAAGATTTACCCTTTGTGGTTGAAATCCCCTCTTTCATACACCACCCTCTGTTTCGACCACAGAGATAGGGGTTCCATCTAGAAAATGTGTGTGTGTAACAGGCAGAGACCGTGATGGAGTGAAACAGGAAGCAAGCAAAACCAGAACTGTCAGAGATGTTTTTTTCTTTTCTTTTTCTTTTTTTTTATTGTTTAATACAACCACAAATGTAAAAGACTCTGCTACTTTTGCTGTGTACACACAAGACAACAACTACATGAACTCACAAAGCCTCACTCACAATAATCTTATGTCCAGAGTGAGCTCCTACAAGGACGTCCCGTCTGTTCACATCTAAATTAGTGGGGGGTGGGGGTTAGCTGTGCAAATGGTCAGCCGATGCATGAGAAATCAGAAGTGTCGTGGTATAGGGTTCTGAACCCCTTTCTTCTTCCTGCGCTCCCTCGGCGCCCTGGGTTTGGTGTTCATGTAATCACTCTGCGAGTCCATCTTCCTCAGCTTGACCTGGGAAGAGACACATGAGGGCGATGGAGCGGCATTATTACGGCATGTCTGTACAGGACTGACGTTCACAGTTGTCATTGAGTTGACGTGCAGGTTATGTGGTTTATTAAAGGCTGACGCTGGCATTTTCTTTTTATTTGCAGGCCAAAAAAATTCAAAAATGCAAGTGATAAATGCAACAATTTTGAATTGAAACAAGTTTGAATAAGTTAAAAATGTTAAAACATCCAGATATATTCTTAAATCCTCCTCCCATATTTGTCTCAACCAAGTAAGAGCCATGTCACAGACAAAAATCATTATACATGCCTCTATTTTACCACCACATATCAACTCTATTCCCCAGCTGTAAAAAGATTCAATTTCTCATTTGTAATTGCACAAAGCTTCAGCTTCTTAAACACGACTATGTGTTTGAGGAATATCTCACCCAGTTGGTAAAGGCGATGATGGTGGCAATGATGCTGTAGATGCTGAGAAGTATAATCACCAGAATCCAAATCCAGGCAAATCGAGGGCTCGGATTCTCATACAGGCTGCTGCTGTTTTGGTTGCTATTGCAAATGTGTCCTGGAAAGAAGCACATTGCATTTAGTATACTTACTATAGATGTGCATTTGGTCTTTCCATTAAAAGCTTGGCACCTCCTAGAAATATTTACCTTCTGCAATTACCTGGATCCTCAAAGTGCTTGGCACTTTTCGAAAGGGTGGAGGTAATGTGATTGTGCTCTCACACCTGTATATTCCATAGCTACTGTCAGTCACTCCAGTGAGAAGGAAGCTGACCGGTTCATGCTGCTCATCCAGTGTTACGCCCTCCCTTTTGATTGTTTGCGAACATTTCAGTGTATTGTTGTCTCTGTTGCATCCACCGGCGGATATCACTTCCTGGTCCTTGAAAAGGTTGAAATTCATCGTGTGAGCGGTCACATTTGGGCACGGCACATGCACGGATACACAGAGAGTTTTCATTTGCTCTGGGGAGAAAAATGTCATCATTAGTCAGGTTGCAAATTTATTCTGATTTCTGATTACACACAGTGAAATATAAGATCTCTGGCTTGTAAAATACTGCCCAATATGACTTCAAAACACACTGAGATGAGACTCTGACATATAAGTTAAAAAAAAACAATACTTTAAGCAAAGACAGTAGCACAGCATTGTGTTTCTTTTTGCAGTAAACCAAGTCAGGATGCATGTGTCTTCGCCTGTAACTAACACCTTTGCAAAGGAAATGTTTTTTTTGTTGTTGGTTTTTTTTTTTACAGTTACATCTCCTGTAGCGATTGATTGATTTGCATTTGATTTAATTCCCTTAACTGAAATTCAGGGTTTGAAACCAGTCACTTCACAGCAACTTCACCCCCACACGGAATTTGTTCAATACACCTCTTAGCACATTTAACCAGCCTCACATTTCACATTTCACCTGAAAAAAAACAAAAAACAACTGAAATTTGCCATGTGAGTGGTATTCTTGACTCAGCCGCTGACTGACTCAGTCAGGTTTGGGTGATGTAGTGCTGGGTGCTGTGCATATTAGTGTTGAAATGAATTTCCTTCTGCACTTTGTTTTAACAGCCGTTATCCTGAAGTTGTATTTGATATTCCTTTGTTGACTCTGGTACTATACTATACTGGTTCCCATTAAAATGTGTCTCAACCTACAAATACTCGGCATTAGGAGGCTATAAAGGTCATCTTAGGTAAACAGTCAATAGGTGAGGATGTATCCTTTAAACTATAGATTCATGTTCTTTAAGCCCCAACTTTCAATATTTTATGTGTGTAAACGTATCCAGTGAGATACCACTGCTGCAGTTTTCCAATACACTCTTTTCCTGCACAGATTAAGGTGTTAACCTCAGTGTTTACAAAGGAAACCAAACAGTCGGTTTGTTAGATAGCAATTGCTCTTCACTATTAAGTTAGTTGCTTAAAATTACTTCATTTTAGAGGTAATTTCTTGCAGATTAGAAGTATTTCTAGAAGCAGTCACTACCTGAATGCTAATCACTATATGAGCATATGAGTGACTTTAAACTGGAATTCATGGTGATGCAGTTGAGCGTATAACCTACCGTTGCAGTTACATGTGCTCTGAGACAGAGCGGTATGAGAGAACTTGCAGCCCAGGAGGATGATGAACATCCAGCAAACACTCATCTTGATCTTTGGCGCCGTGAGTGTGAACTCGCCTCCAGCGCAATAATGTCCCCGAGGCTTTCCCACATCACCTAAAGCTTGAAGCTCCTCCGGCAAACTACACAAAGTGTGTGCTGCAGAGGAACCCGGACCGTTACTCCGATATCATCAACGCCGGTTCCATGCATGCGTTCCTTTCACTGTTATACATCATATCCTCCTTGTGTGTGATTGAAGAACTCCCACGGCGCTGCAGTGACTGAGCCTCACACATCCTCCCTTGGAGGAAAACATCCTGTGACAGAAAACGCCTCCTCTTCTCAAGTTTCCGATCTCTCCTGGAGTTTATGACCTTTTGATAAGTGTTAGTACAGTAAGACAGTGGTCATGTCTTCATTTAGACCACAAGGTCATTGTTTGACCGCTCCAGCCCCGGTTCATTTTTTCTTTGTTTTGGGCCTGTTTCTGTAATTTTATGCAGAATCTAAACTACTGCTCAGCTGTAATACTATTTGTAAAGTAAATGTGTACACTACAACATTACTGAATCATTGTGAATGAATGTGAATATGCGTTTGTGATTTATTTTTTTTTTATACTACTCACACAGTTTTGGCATAAAGTGCTTAGTATTTTGGAAGCTGTTGCATATTTGATTGAATGTGTTGCATCATCACTGTGTGGTTGTGAAGGGAGACAAAGACTAAGAGAAGGAGGCAGATAAAAACTTTGTGGTAACTACACAAATGTGCCTTATCCAGAATTAAAAAAAAAAAAAAAGAAGAGAAAGAAAATTTGCATGAAAGCACAGAAGTTGGTCATAATGTGTGTTTTTCTGCTCTGTAGCTGTACGTGGTCAAGCAGCATGAGGAGATGAGTGACCAAAAGTGCAATGACCCAGTGTACCATGTGGCGAAGTTTACTGAACACAATGAGATCTGCCAAACAGATACCCAACCGGTTTGAACTGACATTTGTGTCACTATCTGACTGGAACGCAGAAAGTCAGTCCGGGAGAGAGGTGAAAAAGAAACTATCACAGTTATGGCACTTACTAAAAAAAGAAAACCCACAGTGATTGTGCTGTGAAGCGATACCAGCTATTAGAGAGGGTTCCTCCCACCCACAGGGTAGTAAAATCTTCAATCTTCACCACTTTTGATCATTTTAAAAAGTCCATAGCTGTATCTACACAGCAGGCTTGAGGGGAAGGTGCAATAGGTTTTTTAGTCCACTAGATGGCAACAAAACATTTTATTTTGATCAGCCTGTTGGTAACAGTTTTTGACTGGCTAAGAGTTAATGTTAATTGCAGCAATGTGTTCCACTTTTCTTCAGTGCCTCCTCTTTTTTTTATACAGGGTTTAGAGCAGGGATTAGAGGCCTTAAAAAGATGTGTACTATGTGTGGCAACACATGGTGACAGATTCATTGTGAAGTGGGGTGGGGGGGTTTAATGCTTTGCCAAAAATGTTGTCTGTAATTTTAACTCTGAAAATGGATGAGGGGTGGGTGGGTGGGTGGGTGGGATTGACGGGCTAGTATAGTAATGCCATGTGTCCATATGGATAACGCGCAATAATCTCCTAATCTGGAACATGTCCCTTTTGTCTGGTGGTGGTGACTTTGGGTGAGCATCAGCAGGAACCCACCCTGTGTGGCTTAATGCGGCTCCTTATCTCATTTTACAGCATGTTTCCTGAAACAAACAAACGTTTATAGTTTTATTATTATCACTATTACCCTATTATTACTATTATTACTGTTAGTTAGTTAGCACATGATGACTTTGCATTCAAGCGGCAGGAAGAAGAGATGAGAGTGAGTATGTAATTATAGTTTTCATCAATTAATCAGCAGAAAATTGCTCTAAAATGTGTCAATTGGGAACTGGGGTTACAGCGCAATCCATCTCTTTCCCAGTCACATCTGCTTCATCGCCAGGTCATTCCTTTTCTCCGTGATCAGCCCTGATATAAGATATTCCCCACGATCCCTGAAGGCAGCATTGGATTCTGGGCTGGACAGGAAACGACGGAGACGCGCAGCGTGTCTCCTCATCAGCTCCGGGAGAGAAGAATGGGAAAGGGAACAGATTTTTGTATGTAGACGAGGCAGCGTGTGAAAACATGAGGACAACGGGCAGTTTTTGACTAGTTACCTCTTTAAAACATATATAATTACACATATCATAATAGGAGTTTTCTTCTCCCCCCCCCCCCCCCCCCCGCAGTACAGGGATATTTGTTCCCATTGGAAAACACAGCGGAGGAGAGGAGCCTCTTTGTGAATCCCATCTGACTGTAAGTGGGTTTTTCTTTACTATTCCGGCATGTTTTAATTATCTCACGCCTTGTCGGCCTTTCTAGAATCAGATCCCTCACAGACTGAGAATGTCAATCATAAATAAATGTCAGTATATTGTGCCACACACTGGCAGCAGCCCATGTTGGAGATTTTGTCTTCGGGAAAAGAAACGGAGGAGTACTTAAACTGTATGTTTACCATACTTCTTAAAGACAAGGGCCACTAAATAGCGATCTGTGAATATGTTGTTGCTTGTTAGAAAAAGTGTTTAGTCTGTTTGAATGGGGAGGGGGTTATATGCCCCCTATGCGGCCATTGAACAATCCTTTTCTTGGGGAGAAAGGGTGTGCAGCGTTTGGGCCGACTGGGAAAACAGCCGCAGCTTTCATGGGAGTGACATTTGAACATGAGCCCATTGTTATGATGTATTTGTTAGTCTTTATTGCCAGAGCCAAGCCTTGTGACTCTGTCGCGGCCGGCTGGAGGTATTTTCAATCTCATTTTCTGTCCTCTGCATCTAACAGAAGGGATATGTACAGTCTCCACCCTGTTTAGCGGGAGGAGGCTATCTGCTTCTGGTAATGGCCGATGGTTTTGTCGCGGTAATGTTTATATCTTGCTGGTGGACTTATGAAATATCACATTTCATGTATTTAAAAGCACATAAGATAAGTGGTAATATATGTCAGTGGGGCTGGGTTCAGCTCATCATTAGCTGCCTTCTTCACAGCAGTTCATGAGCACTGTTTTAATCCCCTTTGTTGGATGACGCCGCCGGCAGCAGATTGGATAACATGTAGCCAGTTTGACCAGTGGCTATCCCCAGTTCACTGCTACCACCCACATCAGCTAGTAGCATCTTTAAAACTATGCATTTATCCTGAAACTAGGAAAAGTTAAACACTTGAGCTGCTGCTTCACTGGCACAAATAACTAGAGCTTCTCAAACAGCCAAATGATTGTAAATGACTTGAACAAGCTTCTCCCCTGAGGTCACGCTGTGTTTCTCTCTCTCTGCTTGTAGCCTCAGACTTTGCATCATTTCAGACGTTAGCACTGGAAAGATAATGACCCTTCATTGACCGTGGGGTTCAAAGGTCATTTAGTGAGGAGCTGCACACCATGCCACAGTCTGGCTGACTACCATATGGACCCAGTAAACATTCCCTGTGTGTGTGTTTGTTGTTTGCACTTCCAATGCCAGACAAGGACAGATATTTAGCTGTATCTCTTCAGTTCAGGGGGTGAAAATGGGCTCAAAAAGAGCCACTAAGAAGCCACTTTGCCCTGCCTTTATTCCCCCCACGGTGGCATTATAATAGACCGTCTGTGTCCTCAAGGCACGCTTGATTTGCATCCACAAAGCACTAGACTACAAGCACATTATTCTGCGCTTTGAGACAGTGCAGCAACAATGCAGCCCATTCGCTTACAGTGCAGTTAATGGGTTGAAAATAACTACTGGCCTTCTGGTCGCTCCCCCTCAGCCAGATGCATTTAAGCTTGTTATGTTTTTTTTGGTTTCTTTTGGCGTGTGGAGTGAGGTTTTACTTTCTGTTTTGTCAGAGACACAGAAGAGGACAGAAAATGTATGATGCCCAAAGGACATCTGGAAAACCCAGTGATATGTTGTTCCTTTGGGTATTGTTACACGGTGGCTCTGTTTTTCTGTGCTGTGTCCCATTATGAATGTTACTTTAAAACAAAATGATCAGCCGGTTCTGTAAAATGGAGGGTTTGAAAATATTTGCTCTGTTTTTGATGATAGAAGCAACTTTTTTTGGGGTTTATTTTAGGCCCCTGGCTGAATTCCAACAGGTAGTTGTAGCAATATACTTTTCAGCGAGCGCCTGTTTGATTCAGTATCATTATTTATGTCTGACATTAAAATCAATGTTTTGTGAAGGTACTGGTGCAAAAACACAATACCAGCACCTTGTGTAATAGGATCATACAAGACATTTACTCAGTAGGTTGAGTTATACTGAAGTCACTGCATTCAGCTCAGTCATGGATTAAATGTCTAACCACAGAGGTAAAACACATGTTAGAACAGAGCGTGTCATCTCACTGCCCCTGTTTAAAAGCACATGTAAGGAATTTTTCACTGTCAGCTTTCTCTCTCAAGGCCGTTGGAAAGAGAAGCGAGGGAGAGAGGGGATATATTTTGGGAGAAGAAACGGCTCAAAATACATAACCAGAAACATGGTTTTCTCATTCGTCCACTTGTTTTGCCAGAAGAGGCAGGGAAGAAAAAACGCTTCTGCTTTCCGCCTTCCATCCCACTGCCTCATTTTATACTTTTTTGTACACTTGACTTCTTTTGGATGTAGTTGATTAGATGAGAAAAACAGCTGTCAAAGAAATTTTGGTCTTGAGGAATGATCCGCAGAGGCTGTGTGCGTTAGAGAAGAGGGATTTGAAAGCTATTCTTGGTTTGTGTGTGTGTTAGCATCTCCTGCGTGCTGGTGTGTCCATCTGTCAGCACTTTCCTGGCTCTGTTGTGCGAGTTGCAAGGGCCATGTCTGACCTGTGCCCATCCATCCACCCATGTCCACGGACATAATAAGACTTAACTGCACAAAAGCTCCAAAGACGAGAGCCTGGAGGCGGCGTCTGCGGTGGTGGTTGCTGGTGGTTGGTGTAAGTTTACCCAGGTTGTGTTACAGCCGTGGGTGTAGGTGGGTAAAGGGAGAGCAAGGGGGGGAGGATGGCACTTCAAACGCAGCCTTCAACACGCACTGATGGAGAGCTGGAGGGGAGAATGTAACCTGATATTTCCTCACTGACAGGAGGTACCTTGACTTGACTTGGGTTGGTGGACTAGAGAGTTTAAAAGCCACCAGCTGCAGCAGGGCTCAGCTCACATGATGCCAGACAAGATGCCATGTTATGAGTGTGTTGTGTGTGTGTGAGTGAAAACGAGAGAAAGTAGCTATGTATCATTCCACCTGGGTGTGTCCCCCCCCCCCTTGTCACAGACACGTGGTCCCGGCCTCTATAGGGCCTTGTTCTGGTAACATTTTGCTGACCTTTGGTGGCAGCTGCCCCTGCCATTTGGAAACAAAGACAAATGGCTAACCAGCCTGTCTGTGGCCTCTAAAACCTCCACTGTTCCAGATCGTGAGTTGCTCTTCCTGTTGGCCTTTTCATATGTACGTAGAAACTTATATCAGTGCCCTCCGCGACAGGAAATCAATTGTTTGAGATCCACTTGCAGCCTTTTCTTATGTGATGACTGATTTCTGTTCTTCGACAAGGAGAAAGTTGAGCACACGCACTTTCACTTTTCCTCACCTTCAGTTTCGTTATTGCCCTTCTTGGTAGTAAACACATGCCCACGTGAAGGTGTGTTGAGTCGTCCGCTTGCAGTGAAACAAATGTACGGACAAGGAGGCACCTACTCTCCGGCTGCACTGCTGATCGGAGTAGGCAGAAGGAGGGCATCCGCCTCTCCTTTCAGGACAATACATGATCTCGGTCCTCGTTCAGCAAGTGCACTCAAGCGCACAGGCGTACACACACACACACACACACACACACACACACACACACATACACATACACACACTGCTATATTAAGGCAACTGAAGATACAAATGGCGAGGATTGACCTACCATCGGTTCTCCTCGCCATGTCAGTTGTCATATCTGTGCCACCGGGTGAACGCCTTCTCCTGCAGCACTGACGAGTGTGCACATTTATAGCACGGGTCAGTCCTGGTGGGATTTACGCTCATAAAGGAAAAGCCCATTTTTAGAGACATTGATTTATCATTGATTCAGGAGTTATTTTATGATGAATTGTTGTAATATTGCCTCACCTGCCTTTCCTACATTTCCCAGTTTTCCTTGCACCAGAGAATGGGTCTGCACTCGTTGCAAGGTAGAAGGAGCAAGTGAGAGTTTCAGAGCAGAGAAAAAAGGGACAGTTGCCGCCCCCTTACTCTTGTTGTCGTGCTGTAGCTGCATTGCATTCTGGTCTGTTGAGGCTACATCGGAGAAAACTGATACTTCTCCCTCTTTTATGATGGATTTCTCCCTGTATGATTAGAAGGCAGGCACCTGTAGAAAATCATTGGTCTAGAAATAAGCCTTGAATCAGAAAGACAGACTAAAATTGAGCGATACCTGCTCATGTTTTGAAGGTTAGATTTCAGGTGTCATGAACAGGGCATTGCTCCACCTGCCAGTCAGTCTTTATCTCCACACCGCTTCTTCCGTGACCTATTTTTCTATATTTTATCTGATCTGCTGTGATACATTTCCAACCCTGCTGCATTGTTCATTCATTAATTGTCCCTTTTTGTTTGCTACCTCTGTCACTGTACACTTTGTTTAAGCAGCTTAGGCAGCCATTAATCAGTGTGACTTTGACAATGGCAGCTGGTTGATTCTCACTGCTGGGCTGCTGGTGAGGGACCCCCCCCCATTCCCTCCTCCTCCTCCTACTGTATTATAGTTGGTCTGTTTTATTCACTGTTGTCAGGGCTCTTTGTTAACTTCACAGTGCACAGGACAGGAAATGGGGGGGGGGCACACTGTCTTCACTGTTGCTCTCTGTCACGCAGTCATGCAGTCAGCATGATCAACACCTGTGACTGCCACAGAGCCCCGAGGCCCTTCTGCCGTGTTGTTTGCGCACCTATCTTTAAGTTAAGTTGGGCGATCACCCTGAAACTGATCCTGACATCCAAGGTTGGAGAAAGGGAATCTCATCCCAGTGGGAATTCTCAACTGGAATTCCAGCGGTCGCATCGGATATCAGTGGAGGAGAGAGCGCAGGGAGGGCGGAGCGGAGGAGGTGATTTATGGCGTCATGTTTCTTTCTCCGCCGCACCAGTCTGTGTCATCCACGGCAAAGCCCAGTTCAAGATCCACCGCAACCATCGCGGGGCAGGTTGATGGATGGGGCTGGCCTGTCTGTGCGGATGGACAGCCTTTTGAAGTCGGCCCTGGATAATGGCTCTTTGACATGGAGAGAGCAGAGGATGCT